ATTTTATTTTATTTTTTAAAATTTGAAAGTATTATAAATATTAAAACTTTTAAAAGATGAAAATTAGAATATTTAATTTTAGTTTTATAGAATATTAAAAATATTAAAAAAATTGAACTCTACAAAATTTTAAAGTATTATTAATATTTGAACTCTAAAAATATAATAAAATTGTACGTAAATATGATTGAACGGGTTTGAGTATACATAAATATGATTATATTTTTTATTACGGATTGTCTATATTTAAAATCTTTTACGGGTTAAGTTAAAATAAAATTTTTTATTTACAACAAAATTGTCTCGCGGTGTATCGCGGGTTGACCATATATATCTGTGAATCTACTGATAATATAAATTCAAAAAATTATATAAAATTAAAATAAAATACACACTTATAAAACTAGACTATATATACCAACTAAAAAAATGATCAACCAAACAAATATATCAAGTTATGGCCCCGTGGTATACCACGGGGTATATCCTAGTTATATAGATTAATTGAGTAGACACAATTTTTTTTTTTTGAAGTATGAGTTGATTTCTTTGATCATCCTTTTTGTTTTATATAATTCAATAATTTTTTTTCAAAATAATTTTCATTTCTTGAAAAAAGTACTCAAAATATAATTTACTAGTAATATTTATTTAGTGGATACGATTAAACATAAACTAAAACAATAAAGAAGTAGCCGTTGTAAGCGCACTTCCATAGATGAATAAGACGACTAGCCGTTACGCTCTTTAATTCTTCTTATTCACTTTTCCTTCTCTCTCTCTTTTTATAATCTTCTCTCAGTGATCTCATCCTTTTTCAAAATCATCCAAAAAACCCTAAGCGACGCTCGAATTCAATTTTCACTTCCCAGATAACAAAATCACAATTCACAAAACTTCTTCTTCTTCTTCTTCCAATGGCTTCGAAAACAGCGGCTGCTAAAGACATCATCACTTTGCACGGATCTGCTGCCATCGTCAGCGAGTTCTTCTGTACGTATTTTTTTTCTTTTTTTTCCCAATTTCTCATTTTTGTTTTTTCCTCTCCTCGATTTTGATTATGATTCTTTCTTCTTCTTCTTACAGGTTACGCTGCGAACAGGTGAGAATTGAAATCGGAATTTTCAAATTCAGTTCTCGGAAATTCTCCGATTCTGTAATTTTCTCTGACTCGATTTTGTTTTTTTTTGTTTTTTTTTGTTTGGGGGAATAGTATTCTGTATAATCGTGCAGTGTATCCAGAGGAGAGTTTTGTGAAAGTGAAGAAATATGGACTTCCGATGTTACTTATTGAAGATGAATCCGTCAAATCATTCATGTCAAATCTCACTTCTCAGATCTCCGGTATGGTCTTTTTTTTGTTTGGTTTAGTACTTAGTAGTAGTCTTAAGAGGACAGAACTATAAACGCTGATTTGGTTATTTTGTTTTCTATATAAAGAATGGCTTGAAGCTGGGAAGTTGCAGAGAGTAGTGTTAGTGATAATGAGCAAAGCTACAGGTGAAGTCTTGGAGAGGTGGAACTTTCGTATTGAGACTGATGATGAAGTTGTTGAGAAAGGGTGAGTTGAGTTTTTGTTTTAGTGTTGTTACTTTCTCTAAATTTGTGTGTGTTCTCTTCTTGATTCTTGTGGAACTTTTAGTGTGTCGAGGGAGAAATGTGATAAGGAGATCATGAGAGAGATACAAGCTATTATGAGACAGGTTGCTTCAAGTGTTACTTACTTGCCTTGTCTTGATGAAACATGTAAGAACCCAAATCATTGATTATTTCAATACTTTTAAGGGTTTGTTTGGTCATGTGTCTCATTGTTTGTGTTTAGGCGTGTTTGATGTATTGGCGTATACGGACACGGACGTGGCTGTTCCATTCACCTGGGTTGAAAGCGATCCCAAGTTGATTGCTAATCCACAGATGGTTAAGCTACATGGTTTTGATACCAAGGTAAAGGAGTTAAGAAATATGGAATGTCTATGCAATTTACTTGGAATTTGTCTTTTAAGTGTATTGGTTTCATTCTCTGCAGATTCACAAGGTCGACACCCTTGTTTCATACAAGAACGACGAGTGGGATGAAGAAGAGTAACTTAAGTTGGTACACACGTATGCAAGGTTCTTTGTTCAGCTTGCGTTTATCTCTTTGGGAATTCTCTCTAATGTTCTGAAGGCACGTGAATCCTTTATTCACACCTATGGTCGTTTTCTCTTCTCTTCTTTCTGCATTGTATGAGAATCCTGTACTTGTGTTGTGTTTTGTTCAAAAGTTGCTCCTTCACTGTCCTTGTTCCTTGCATTGAACCTTGGTCAAAAAAAAGATTTCTAAAAGCCAGTCAAATCTGTTATTCACAACGAGATAAAGTTTTCTAAGGCCAATCAAATTTCTCTGATTCACAAAGATGGAATGTACAAAGAGAACATCTTTAGAATGACTGATGAAAAAATAGGATTCTTCTAGTTTTCCACATATACCCAAAGAGGTTTCTTCTAGCTTCCAGTAGTTGTTTTCTCATCTCATTCCTCGATATAAGACACCAGGTTGAAGATCATCCATATTGTCAATGTTTCGAACCACGTCTATGTTCCGAAATGCATCAAACTCTCTCAGACATGTCCATCCCCGTCGAGCCAAGAAATCTTTGTAATCCTCTTCGGTGTAGAATATCTTCTCCTCTTGATGGACTGGTAATGGATCAGATTCATCATAGTGGCACACTCTAACAGCTATCCCTGAAATTTCAGTTTGGATATTGAGAACCTAACCTCTACCCAGAGATAGTATTCGATGAATATCAGAGAAAGAATAAACTAACCTTCATCAACGTGGAGTGTATAGTTCCCTAAAGGCATGTCTCGGTCAAGAGAGCGAACAACTTGTTCTTCATCTTCTAGCCAGAAAGCTCGTCTTGTTCTTAATCTAAACGCCGATCTGATAGCTTCCTTGATTGCTTCAGCAGTACCATCAATCCCAAATCTTCTTGTATACTCTCCAAATTTCACTGTTATGATCCTCCCAACAAACGGATGAACATCACCACCTGCTTTGAACATGAAACCGAGAAGTGGTTGTCAGAAAAAAATTGAGCGGAACATATAACTTCAAAAGCCTAATGAAATCAAACTATCGCAAATTGGAGATGCTTTTAGTTAGCTTGGCTGGTTACTTACCATTTCCAGAGGGATCTCTCCAATTCCAAGGAGGAACTCCATTTGCAGTGACGGGATCAGCAGAGGCCATGGCGAGAGGAAGACCATCATGATCGAGCTGCGTTTCGAGATTTAGCGAAGGCCTGCCATTAGCTGCACACAGATACAACTCAATCAACACTAAACAACTTCCACAATCTACAATTCGGTATGAGTTCACTTTTATTTCATTGAATTATGAGGGAACATTAAAGTTGTTGTGCGATTATTTACCAATAGCTAGGACTGAGACAACCATTTCTCTCAAAATACTCCCCTAATCAAGAATGATTTCAACACCATATAAATACTATAGATTCAAAGAAATGTGAAATCAGTACCTTCAACAGATGTAAAGGAAATGCCAGTATCTTCAAAACCTACAAGAAGATAAAGATAAAAGATACACATCAATCCAGAAGAAAACCCAAATTTAGTATAAAAGTCAATATAATTTACAACCAAATCTACAACTTCATATTTAGCCATAAATTAGTCAACATCCTCTTAACCAGCTTTAGCACTAAAAAGGGAACAAAACTGAAACCTTTGACCAGTCTTTTTCATCTCAATCTAAATCTAAACCAAAACCCATTACAAAGCTTTATCCAAACTTTGCCTTAATCCATCAGAAACCCTAATCCCAGTACTGTTCTATAGAATCTAGTATCCTCAAAACCACAAGATCAAGCAAAAAGACTCTACCTTTATCTGTAAATTGCATAAAGGAATCAACTTTAGCAGAAGATGGCGGAGTAGCAGGACTCTTATACAATGCCACTTTCTTGTTTCGTTCTCTAAAGATATCGTCAATCTCTTTGTAATAAGACATCTTCGCTGATCCTCCACTGGTCGCTTTATCATCTTGATGCTTAGCTTTCTTGAATTCTTTCAAAATGTTCCTCCACTTGTCCGTACACATAGCTGGCGATCGATCAAACCCTTTCTCCCTCATCTTGTTCGAAATCTCTTCCCAGAGATGTTTGTTAGATTTCGAAGTGTTGAAAAGATTGTCCATTTCTCCCCGTAACGAGATTAAGGTTCGAGTCTCGTCTTGTACCCATGTCTCTGCTCGTTTCTTCGGTGCTTTGATCTCGTGATCCTCTCCTCCACTGCTGTCTCCGAGGATGATCTGGTGATTTTGTTGTTGCGTTGGTAGATCGATCATCATGTTTATGTCCCGTGAAGGATTGTTATCGGAAACAAACATGTTTTCTCGGACGGAGGAGGAAGAAGACAGAGAGACGAATGTTAAATACTCAAAAAGATTATTGTACTTTAATTTTGACTACACGCGCTATTATGGCGTGCGTGAACGGTACTCTCCCTTGACTTGAATCCAATACTTATCTTAATTTGCAAACAAATCTCACAACAGCTTGTTTATTGAGTTGAATATAACAGCAGTCACATGAAACAATCCAAACTTACACAGCATCTCTAAATCCAAAGCAAATCTTTATGAAAACAACAACAATGTGTCCAAACTCCAAATAAAGATGGAAGGGAACATGTTTTTTTATTCTAAAGAAAAGAATAAGTTTCAAAGATAGTTGAAGAACATCTCCACTAAGCAAAAGATTTCACCATAGTGGTGGCAATACCTGTAAAACAAGTTCTGGATTCAGTAAAGTATACATCGTCTACAGAAATTATGAAGGGAATAAGAGATCAAAGAGAAGTAAGTTTACCTTCATTGACATGGAGTTTATGATCTCGGTCAAGAAAGCAGACGACCATGTTCTTCATCTGCAATCCCAAATGATCATCTGCTTCTTAACCTAAATCCAGCTCTTGATAGCTTCAGCACCGTACCATCAGTGCCCAAACTCTTCTTATTATGTAGTCTCGAGTCCAAACTCGGACCACAGAAACAACAGACAAATCGCATCACCTGCTGTCAAACATATTACTCAGGCGACCATGTTCTTGGGGTTTCCTTTTGCAGAATTCATAACTTTCTCAAACTAAACAAGCCACACTCATAAACAGTAGAGTCTTCCCCCTGACCAAACTACCTTTCTTCTTTCTTGAATACTTCTATTCCTGTGTTTTTTTCTTTTTCTTTTTTGTCAAACCAAATAAGTAATTCTAAAATACATATGGCAACACCCATGGGCAGATACACCTCCCACAAACTACAGCCTACCCATACAGACTGAGCTATTCAATCATACAGAAAAGAAAGGCTCAGATGGAATTATATACCTAGAGAGTTAACTTAGGGGCCGGCTTCGAACAAACAGCACACAAAAACTCTAGACAAAACGTTTCTTCGTATTCGCTGTCATTGATGCACCGACCACATTGATAACACCTCTGTATGCAAAGCGAACAAGCACGGCATTCCTCAGAACCTTCCTTTTTCCCTTTACAATCTTCTGCTGGACAGTCATACACAAGCCTAGAATTCAGACACTTTGGGCACATCTCAATATCTAGTGCCCGGACATTATCACAGGACACACATGCATCTCCTCTATGGTAAAAACGGGGCTTCTGAATCTTCTGCTCGACATTATTGTCTATGTTCAACAATTCAAACAATTCGTCGTAGTGATCTTTAGTAACCCCAAAGAGGCCACCAATTTCTAAATGCTTCAACTGAAGCTTTCCCACAGACTTCAGATCCCTCAAGATGCTCAAAATACCATCGATAGTGATCCTTGTGCATCCAGGCACACCAAGCTGCCAACCACAAAAAAACATTAGGTTTAAATAAGACCCCTCAAATCAATTTAACCACCATACACTTTATAGAAAAAATCACAGTACTACTTATTAATTTATCCATATAAGCTTAAGACTTAGAGTAAATGAAAGGACAGAAGCTCACCTTGACTACTTGTGGGTTGCGCTCCAACACCCGCTTAAGACAATCATCAGTAATTCTACAGCAATCTACGAGCCTCAAACACTGCAAGGTCCCCTGAGCCCTCTCAGTCAAATGCAACAGAGACTCTTCCGTAATCTTCTCATTCAATGGTTGACAAATGTGTATATGTTTCCATAGTAACGAATCATCACACACAGTTGTATGCAGAGATTTGCAAACCATACTGACTGAAAGAAGATCCTTCACTCCCAAATGATAAAGACAAAAACCAAATGCTGGATGAACGTTTGCATTCTCGCCTCCATTAGTGCAGCGATCACTGCTTCCTACAACTTCACTACTCCTCAAATCCTCAAGGCTCAATACCTCATCCACACTACTAGCAGACACAAAGGCACCATGACAAGATCCATCACCATCAAATGCCCCTCCAAACCCACTGTTCCCCACACTACTCTCGGGGAATTTACAAGCGGAAAACAGAGAACCATCAAATGCACCTCCAAACCCATCGGATCCATAATTAAACCCACTACTCTGAAACTGCATTGCATTGTTCCAAATAAAACTCAATCCAGCAAACAGCTGCTGATGGTTTCCATCACCAATCCAAATGTCATCTCTCTTTCCTCCATACTGGTTATTATAATCCAAGTCCTCAAGCCACCCAGTAATGGCCGTGAAAGTGTTGTTGATATCCATACCAAACGGATCAGACGGCAAAACGTCAAGTATGTCAACAGAAGAAGAATCTCCTCCAGTATTCTTCCTTCCATAATCAAAGCAATCACCTTTCTCGAAACTCGAACACCAATTCCCATTGGCTATCTTCATTGGTTCCTCAGATAGATGGGAAGAAAAGGGTCTATGTGAAAAATTTAAAGCCATTTCTATTAATCTCTATATACAACTTTGTAAACCTAAAGAAAACAAAAATCCCTCTTTTGTACAGAATCCCTGAAAAAAAAAAACTCAAAACCCCCTAAGAAGATAGATCAGATCCGAAAGAGACGAAAAAAAAAACTTAAAGTTACTTTTTTTTGGATTATTGAAAGACGAATTTGTAGAAGAAGAAGACGGATCTACGAATGAAAAAAAAAGGAAACTCTTGATTTCAGATGGCAATTAAAAAAATACTAGGCACCAGAAATTTTCAGAGCTTCCTTGGGGAACCCTAAAAAACCTAGAAAAAAGGGAGAAATCGAAAGTGAGACGTATTAACAACCAAATTGGGGTAACAAAAGAATGAATTGAATATATTTTTTTTTCCTCTTTTTTTTTGTTTTTCTGTTTAACAAACTCTTTCTTCCTCGATCAAAAAACTAGGGTTTTCGAAACCTAATCCTAAACATTAAGAAGAAAGAACAAAAGATACGATTTTTTAAAAAAAAAACCCAAATAGAGAAGAGAATCAATTGAAACCCTTTTTTGTTTGTTTCCTCACACACACGCAAGATCAAAACCAAACCGAACCCTCGCCGCGAAAAATCAAAAACAAGATCTCCTTTATTTTTGGGGAAATCTTAACGCTTTTTCGAATTGGGAATCAAACAATTCGATCAGTTCAGATTCAAAGAGATAGAGAGAGGGAAAGAGAGAGAGAGAGAACGGGTGATATTCGTCGACCAGGTCAAGAGAGAAAATGATGGAAAGGTTGAGAAAATTGTGCGAGAAAATCTCAAATCTTTTTTATATTTTTATTTTCTGGAGGTCGAGAGAGATTTTACGAGGGAGAGAGAAGAAGAAAAATAAAAAAAAACTTGGGAGGCAAAATAAAATAATTAAATAAAAAAGAGAGAGAAGGGAACGAACGAGATAAGATTAGGGTAACGGTGAAATCGTCAAAGTGTCTTATATTATAGGACACGTGTTGATCTGACATCAATTTGGATTATTGGAATATCTCTTTTTTCTAAATTAATTTTGTTTTTTTCACACGTATATAACATTATATTTTAATTGTTTGTCTTTTATATTTTTTCAGAAGTGTAAGTAATATTATCTTTTAATATTTTTATTTTCTTAGATATAAATATGTTTGATATTAATATTATTAATTATGGAAAAACACTCTTTCAATTATTGTAAAATCTCATTTCCATTATTAGTAAGATGGTTATTTTTAGTACTATAATAATTTGTTGATTTTGTGTTAATTACAATTTATTTGTTTTATTTAAACTTATTCTCTTCTTTTTCTTTTTGTTTTGTGTGTGTGTATAGTAACAATTATTAAACTATATCAGATTTTATTTTTTCCATGTATATAAAAATGGTAATATTGTTGTATAAAATCAGATTAGGTATAGATATGTCCTATGTAGCTTTTAAAACCACTTAGGTACACAGTAAAGAGAATATTAAATATATATTTAATATAATGTAGAATAAGTAGAGATATCTTAACAAGAATCCAATAAACCAGCCTGTGAAAGCTAGTAAAAATTGTGGCATCTATGCAAAGCACAAATCGGGTGAGAATGTTTAATAGTTAAAGAAAAAAACAAAAGTGTGCCAAAATAGTAGTATTTCTCAATCTTGACAACAACAACAATAACACGTAAAGTTGTGTTAGCAAAGGAATGTTTCGTAGAAGAAGATAATAAACTTGGAACAACATAATACTTACAAAAGTATGAAACTTCCAAGATTCTTCTCTTCTTTCTGAGTTGTGACATATATTCCATAATAAGAAAATAAAAATAGTAATTGATCGAGGAACACAACTCAAAAGTCATACAAGTGTTTTAAGAAATACAATAGTAATACGTCAAAACTCAAAATCTACGAAAAAAATCTGAACAGTCAGACAATGACTCAAATACTTGATATTGAAATCATATATAATAAAAATGTTCACAAGTTTCAGAAGTTAAAAAGGGTCTATCATATGTGATCGAGGGCTCTGTAAACTTCGCCGTTGACGACTTAGTCTTGAACCTCCATTGAAAGGCTTCTAGTGCGTCTTTTGCTTGAGGATTGTGGCTTCTTCAATCTGTTCTCACTCTTCGTCTTCAGCTTGGCACACCTGAAGAACACCTTTATCGTTATCACTTCGTCAAACTCCTCGTGTCTATGTTGAGTGGACGGACTGAGATCATTTTTATGAATTATGCTTCCATGTTTTTATTTTTTTGCCATCGGACCATTTTTATAGGATTATAAACCTAAATATTTTCATTTTTAATAAAATATTTACATTCTTAGCAAAAAAAAAAGGGTCTATCATTCTCTATCTATGATTAAATGTTGAAATTGGTTATTTTTTTTTTTGGTAGGATGTTGAAATTGGTTATTGGACTCAATGGTTTCTGAATATAAATTTGTATTGGGCCTTGTGAGGCCCATAATATTTTGAGAAAAACTGGCCTGTTAAGTCTTGAGAAAAAGAAGAAGTGACTCTCAGTCTCAACAGTCGTCGTCTTTCTCATATTTCTCCAGAAAACTTGAAACCCTGAATTGCAAATCCGAGAAAATGGAAACACGAAATCGAGCCATACATCTCACAGAGGCGATGTGGGAGGATATTATAGCGAGGTTACCATTGAGGATCATCGCTAGATTGAAATTGGTAAGCAAAACATGGAAATCAACAATCGAATCAGTCTATTTCCGCCGACTCTTCGTGTCAATGCACCAAAAATCCTCAGCCTCGTGGTCTCTAATTCAGTACGATGGTAAAGATCTCATAAGTTTCCATGGATGCGAGAGATGGGGTCTTCCAAAGTCTCTACCTTTATTCATCCCACCGGATTTTCATGTGGCCAAGGCTTCTTCCCATGGATTGGTTATGCTTTCAGATTATGATCTTGATTACTGTTTTGTGGGCAGTCCAGTTTTACGAAAGTGGATCAAAATCCCTCCAGCTCCTGATGGTGAGTCTTCTTCTGTGTTTGGTTTGGTGAGTCGAGTGGACGATGATGGTTTCGTTTTGGGGTTCAAAGTGGTTAGGTTAGCTAAGTACCGAGTGACTAATAATTATGTCTCCTCTACTTTGGATTTGTTTCTGTATTCCTCCGAGACTGGGATTTGGACTTCCAAGACTATTCACTGCCCTTATAAAATCACCAACTTTGGTTCTTTGACTTTGAATGGTACTATATACTTTAACCATCTTAGTGAACCTGGAGTACTCGTAGCTTATGATTTCTATTCTGAATCCTCCGATCAGTTTATGGTTATACCTCTCCCGGACCATCCCAATCACCGCTTCAAAAGTGCTTTGACTACATCCCAAGGATTTTTCATGTATATCAGAACATTAGCCCAATCCGCGTCTAATGTTTTCAAGGCTTGGAGGTTGAACACTGATTCATCTTGGCAACTTTTGTGGGATATCCGCCTACCGTTACTTATCGGTGATTATGTACCCATGGCAATGCATCCATTTGATAGTGACACTGTCTATCTATGGAGTCGAGATTATCGCCATGTGGTATCATGCAACTTGAGGACACAGAACAACTTGATACTCGGAGATGGTGATCATCAAGATTGTTTCTTGAACCAGTCTATATGTGAGGAGTCTATGGATGAGATATGTGACTTTGAAGTTTGTGTCAGGTTATTACAATTGGTGCCCCCACGGTGGATGGATTTGGTGCCTTGTCCTCCCAAAGCTGAGATGATGGATACAACTTCAGTACTCGCTTACGTTGTTGCAATGCAAGAGACACAATGGGGTGGCAGGTAGATTGATCCTTGGAATTGTTGATTTCAATTTGGTATTCTGGTTTTCTTTCCTATCTCTAGGACTATGTAATGGAATATATTTGAGATTTCGCCAAACTATTCATATCATCCAACTTTTGCATATATGTTTTGTGTTCGCATCTTTTGTTAAGTTCTTTAAACAAGAGTTATAGTTTATAATGGAGCTGAACTTACAGCTTGAGCCTTGATGTTGAAGCAAGTAGAAGAACCAAAAGGGATTTCGGAGACCACTCAATGGGTCGGTTTCTCGCAACGTATTGGAGAGTAGAGACCCTCGTAGCTTTGATTGTAGTAGTTTCAGATACTCATAGGAAGAAGAGAAGAGATCACTGGTTAGCACTTAGCCGTCAAGTGGGATATATTCTTAACTTAAACGGCACCGTTATAACTAGCTAAACCAAAACGATGTCGTTTAGTGTTGCGTTGTACCATTATTGAAATGTAGTAAGTGCCCGCTTCAAAATTCGTAATCAATAAACACAAAGTAAGACTTAGCAGCCCTTTCATAGAAAATAAACATTAATTAATGAAGCCAAAAAAGTTTGATCGATGAAATCTAAACCGTTGGATCAAACCATCGAATTATGAAAACTGGATCACGAGAATAATAAAAAGGAAAAAAGGAAAAGAACCAAAAAATTAAAATTCATCTCCTTTGATAGGGAAAAAGAGAGAAAAATTTATACTTCCAAAGGAAAGGGGAAGAAAGAAAAAAAAAAAAAACATATTTTCTCAAGTCAACAAACAACAACGAAGGTTTGAAGAACTTTGAATGTTGTTATCATCATCATCGTCATCATCATCATCGTTGTATAATTGTTTCTGGGTATTTTTCCTGTTGACCTTCTCTAATTGTGTCATCGGGCGATTTTGTTTGAGCAAATTTTTATCGAAGAAGCCCTTGTTTTATTTAGTCTCTCTTGTCTGAAATCAATCTATTGGTCTGTGTGTTTTTTTGGGGAATGTGAAGCTTTTGTCTTGTTTTCGCTCTCTGATTGTCTGTATATTGGATTGTTTCAGAACTCGAATCGCATAAAGTTCGAATTTTTGCTTAGATTGTACCAAAGGGCGTGTGATTGAGGAAGAATAAGATAAAAAAGGGGGAAACTTTGGGATTTTCTCTCGATCTCAGGTTCGTGATTTGATTCTGTTTCTAAATTTTATCAGGCTGATCTAGGATTTTGAGGTTTTCTTTAATGGATTTTGCTTTTTTTTTTTCCTCAGATGATGACAAGACGAAATTGATGGATTTGGTTCTTCTAGGTGTTAGTTTAGAGAATCTGAATTCTGGTGTTGAGAAAAAAGAAGACTGGTGTGTGTTTTCGGTTTGAATTATGTGGAAGCAGATTCTAAGCAAGCTCCCTAAAAAGTCTTCTAAGCACGAACATCGTGGGCGTGAACACGGTGGCCATGGCCATTCTTCTTCATCTCATGCTTCAGGTGCCTCTACTTCGAAAAGTAGTGATAATGGTACCGGGAAATCAGGGAATTCGCATGCGAAGAATGGTCCAGCAGGTACGAAATCCACTACTTCTGACTCGGGTTTTAAAGACGGGAATCTAAAGAACAGTGGGAACAATAACAAAAACAACAACAACAACAACAGCAGCAACAATAATGGAGTTTTCACTCCTTATGAAGCATTGCCGAGTTTTAAAGACGTTCCAAACACGGAAAAGCAAAACCTGTTCATTAAAAAGTTAAATTTGTGCCGTGTAGTGTTTGATTTCACAGATCCTACAAAGAACATCAAGGAAAAAGAGATTAAGAGGCAGACATTGCTGGAGCTTGTGGACTATGTGAATGCTCCTCCGAATGGAAAGTTTAGTGAAGTGGGTATCCAAGAAGTTATTCGAATGGTGTCTACTAACATATTTAGAACGCTAAATCCTCAACCACGGGAAAATAAAGTTATTGATGCCTTAGACCTAGAGGAGGAAGAGCCTTCTATGGATCTTGCGTGGCCTCACTTGCAGCTTGTATATGAGCTTTTCTTGAGGTTTGTTGCTTCCCCTGAGACTGACACCAAGTTGGCTAAGAGATATATAGACCAATCTTTTGTCTTGCGGTTACTGGATTTATTTGATTCCGAGGATCCTAGAGAAAGAGATTGTCTGAAAACTATTCTCCACCGTATCTATGGTAAATTTATGGTACACCGACCTTTCATCAGGAAATCCATAAACAACATCTTCTATCGATTTGTTTTTGAGACAGAAAAACACAATGGGATTGCTGAGTTTCTAGAAATCTTGGGAAGTATCATCAATGGATTTGCTCTTCCCTTGAAAGAAGAGCACAAAGTGTTTCTTGTTCGAGTTTTGATACCTCTCCACAAACCGAAATGCTTGCAAATGTATCATCAACAACTGTCTTATTGTATCACACAGTTTGTGGAAAAGGATTGCAAACTTGCTGATACGGTTATAAGAGGATTGTTGAAATACTGGCCTGTGACAAATAGTTCTAAAGAAGTCATGTTTCTGAATGAGTTGGAGGAAGTACTCGAAGCAACGCAGCCACCAGAATTCCAACGGTGCATGGTACCACTGTTTCGCCAAATAGCTCGATGTTTGAACAGTCTGCATTTTCAGGTACCTGTCATTCTCTATTCTTTCTGAAATTATAGGTACCACGTTTGCTTTTAAACTGGCGAATGCCCCATTCACTTTGACATTTCCTACAAAAGGCTCTGTTGCTGTTAGTGCTTTGGTTTGAAATTTGCTAGGTCATATACTGTATTAGTATTTGGCCTGTGTATATTCTTATGGGAAATCATTATAACCTATAAAACTGTCATATTAATAGATTTAATGGAAGACTTGGGTTTTCAGTAATGAAAGTGTAAATGTATAGGACAGTTGTATTCAGCTCTGGAACTTCAAGTAGTATCTTATCTAAATTGATATATTAAGCCTATTGTTAAAAGTAAAAAGTTACAAAAATGGTAAAAAGTATTTCGCATTAAAAGACATCTGTTTTGACTAAAAACAGTGACTGCACACATCCGACGGAAAAAAGGTTGTTCATGTTCATATAAGTCTAGTTGGTTCAGGATCTACTGCATTGTGACTAAAGCTTCAATCATTGTTTCAGTTTATTATATACATCTGTCTAATATTTGCAGGTTGCAGAGAGAGCTTTATTCTTATGGAACAACAATCACATTGAGAATCTGATAATGCAGAATCGTAAAGTTATTCTTCCAATTATATTCCCTGCCTTGGAGATAAACGCGCAGAAACATTGGAACCAAGCTGTTCATAGCTTGACATTAAACGTGCGAAAGATATTCCATGACCTTGACCCTGAGTTGTTCAAAGAATGCCTTGCTAAGTTCAAGGAAGATGAATCAAAAGCAGCTGAAACCAAAGCAAAACGGGAAGCCACTTGGAAACGTTTGGAAGAACTCGGGGTGCAGAAGGCTTCATAAAGTTAGTGCTGTAGAGAAGAAACGGAGAGAGAGAGAGAGAGAGAGTCTTCTGTATTTTCTATTGGAATTGGCATGTTCTTCAGATGCATTCTTCAGAAGAGAAAAGTTTCATATTGGTCTCTTCATGTGAAGGAAAGGAAACTCAAGATGTAAGATTTGTTCCCGTTTTGATTTCCATTATTTTTTTTCTTGTTTCCTCTAAAATCTTCCTGCTTGTTAATGGGTTTCTTTTTTTTTTTCTGCCACATTGTATGATCCCCTTGTTCCACTTTCTTGAGACTTGTCTGATTCATTCATCTTCTGCTTTGATACCTGCAAAATTGCAGCTTTAGAATCAGTTTGTTGTTTGTATTGTATTCAAATTTCTTCTATTTTGGATAGTTGTATAAATTTCTTCCAAAATCAGAAAAATAAAAAATCTTAACTTCACAAAAAAGAAACATCTTGTTAATATCTTGTAGTATAAATTACTTTAAAAGACCAAAATTTGGGTCTGTGGATTTGGTTTACGAACTCCACAAGTGTAGGAACTCTCAAAAGATCATAAGCGAGAGACTGGTTTAGTGGTTGGATTTGAATCTTAATGCTGTTGATACATTGGTTATGACTTATTACTAAAACTAAAAACACTGTCGAGATGTTGTTGTTCCTTTCCTTGTGCGGTTAGTGAAATTTTTCTCTGGTCTTAGGGTCTTCTCTCAGTCACCATCCTCTCTTTCTCTCTCTTCTACTCTCTACTCTCTAATCTTTATCCATTCTCTCTCTTCTCTCTAATCTCTATGCCAACGAAGCAATAGCTATGAAAAGCTAAACCCTTTCTTCTTCTTCTTCTTCTTCTGCTGTCTTTGTAGTTCGATTGGCTAGATTACTTGGGTCAGACCCAAGTTTGCTTCTTTCTATGATTCATCAAGTCCAGATCTTGCTTTCCGGGTCCAGAAACGATTCAAGCGCTTCGTTCATGATATAAAGTTACTACCTTTATTTGCTTCTGGGTCATGGTGTTGTCTGCTTTTCGACTTTTGCTTTTGTCTGGATGATTCATAATCTCTGAGATCTAGTAATAAGAGATTATGTTCACAAGAGTTGTACTTATGCGTGGTGAGATGATCTTAGGAGTAGTTCAGTATATTCTTCAATTCGGATTTTGAGTTTCTGAGATCTGACTTTTGCTTTTTTAAGTGATGGAGAGCTAAAGAATCCGATCTGAGCTCTACTCGTTCGAGGAAGTTGACTAAATAGATCGAAGATGTTTAAGCAGATACTTGGGAAGCTTCCAAAGAAACCTTCTGCTAAGTTTTGGGATAATGGTGAATCCCAAACTGCAGATAACAACAGTCAAGGAGGTGATGAAGTTTTGAGTCAGAGATCAAATGGAGATAGCACGGATTGTGTTTCTTTTGATGTATTGCCAAGGTTGAGAGATGTTTCCATCTCTGAGAAGCAGGAACTGTTTCTTAAGAAGCTTAGACTATGTTGTGTAGTGTTTGATTTCGTGGTTGAGCCTCAACAGAACATCAAGGAGAAAGAGATCAAAAGGCAAACACTTCTTGAAGTTGTGGATTATGTTATCTCTTCAGGTAATGGGAAGTTTACTGAATTAGTTATTCAAGAATCTACGAAGATGATTTCGGCGAATCTCTTTAGTAATTCTCATCGACAATGGAAGAGCAAAACACCTGAAGCATTGGATTTGGAAGAAGAAGAAGGATCTCTGAATCCTTCTTGGCCTCACTTGCAGATTGTTTATGAGTTCCTTCTAAGAATCGTCGCATCTCCCAACACAGACCCTAAGATATCCAAGAAATACATCGATCATACATTCGTTCTGAAGCTATTGGATTTGTTTGATTCTGAAGATCCGAGGGAAAGAGAGTATCTGAAAACGATACTTCACAGGATCTACGGGAGGTTTATGGTTCATCGCCCGTTCATCAGGAAAACTATGAACAACATCTTGTATGATTTTATATTCGAGACTGGGAAACACTCAGGAATCGCCGAGTTTCTTGAAGTTCTAGGATCCATCATAAATGGATTCGCTTTACCACTCAAGGAAGAACACAAGCTCTTCCTTACTCGTGTCTTAATTCCTCTACACAAACTGAAATGCTTACCAAATTACCATCAGCAGCTTTCTTACTGCGTTATACAGTTTGTTGAGAAAGATTGTAAGCTGGCGGATACAGTTATTAGAGGGATGTTGAAGTACTGGCCTGTTACTAATAGCTCTAAAGAAATTATGTTCTTGAATGAATTGGAGGAGATATTAGAAGCAACTCAATTAACAGAGTTTGAACGGTGTATGATTCCGCTCTCTCGCCAAATTGCTCAGTGCTTAAGCAGTTCTCACTTTCAGGTAAAGTTCAGAGTTTATTAGGTACACTTGCCTGATTGTTAGATTCTTGAATTGTTCATAAAAATCAACTGCTTGTGTGTTTAGGTAGCGGAACGGGCTTTATACTTATGGAACAACGATCATGTCACTAATTTGGTGAGACAGAACAGCAGAATCATTTTACCAATAGTGTTTCCCGCTTTGGAGAAAAACGGTAGCAGCCATTGGAATCAGGCTGTGAAGAACTTGACCGAGAATGTTCTCAAGGTTTTGTCCGATACAAACCCAGACTTATTCGAAGAATGTTTGCACCAGTTCCAAGAAGATCAGCAAAAAGCTGAAGATACTAAAAAGAAGAATGGAGAAACCTGGAGACAGCTAGAGGAGATTGTTGCCTCAAAAGGACACACATCAATGGCGAAGTAAGAGTTTTTCTACACCTTACCCGATGCAACAACAATCGGTTTATTGTTTTGTTTTGTTTTCTTTTCTTTTCTTTACGCCTGAAAGGTATATACATTTACATTGCTTTGCTTGCTTCAAGTCGCTGGTTTCATCTTCAAGACTAGTTTAATTCAGTTAAACAGTGTGGGATTTTAGCCAAATGTTGTTGTCCTCTTTCAGTTCTTGATTTGTCTGTATACTTCGTTCATGTAAACATCTTGTTATGAAAACAAAAAATTTCTATTGTCTGATGTCACTTAGTTTATAGGTCAAAATAGATTGCTCCAATATTAAAATTTATCTCAATATGCAACGAAAGTTTTGTCCTTTAGTGTACAGAGGATCTATTGGCATTTTCCTGCAAGAATATTTGCCTCTTCTCTGTTAAGTGTTCTGTTACAGCAGGTTTCTTCTTCTAACAAAGAAACAGAAGAAAATCTTTCTGCAATGACTCTTGGTTGGTTTATCTTCAGGAGATTTCACCAGAAATGCTCGATGATAGTCGATGTAACCTCCCGAGATATCATCAAGCCATCTTCTCCCACTCCAAACCACTTAAAGACGTTTAAACTCTCTCTTTTAGAACAGCTCGGTCCAACGATCTTTGGTCCAATGGTTTTCTTCTATTCAGGTAACAACAGAATCAAACCAGCTGAGCAAATACAGAAGCTCAAGCAGTCGTTATCTGAGACTTTAACTCATTTCCACCCTCTTGCTGGGCGGCTCAAAGGCAACGTGAGCATCGATTGTAACGACTCCGGGGTTGATTTCATCGAAGCACAAGTCGATTCACCGCTTTCGAGTCTCCTCCAAGAGCCTTCTTCAGACAGCTTGCAACAACTGATTCCTACATCAGCCGATTCCATAGAGACAAGAACCAAACTGCTTCTTGCTCAAGCGAGTTTCTTTGAATGTGGAAGCATGGCTGTAGGAGTTTGCATCTCACATAAATTTGCTGATGCGACTTCTATCGGTTTATTCATGAAGACATGGGCTGCAATCTCGTCCCGAGGGTCAATCGAAACCGTTGGATCTCCGGTTTTCGACACGGCTAAGATCTTTCCACCTGGAAACTTCTCTGAGACTTCCCCTGCACCAGTGATTGAGCCAGAGATCAAGATGAATCAGACTGTTTCCAAGAGATTCATATTCGATTCTTCGAGTATTCAATCTTTGCAAGCAAAAGCTTCAAGCTTTGAAGTGAACCAACCTACAAGGGTCGAAGCTGTTTCAGCTCTTATATGGAAAACCGCAGTGAAAGCAACAAGAACAGTTTCAGGAACATCGAAACCGTCGATTCTGGCAAACTCGGCTAGCCTACGCTCCCGCCTCTCACCACCATTCACAGAGAACACAATCGGGAACCTGGTGAGCTACTTTGCAGCAAAAGCAGAGGAAGGAATAAACCAGACAAAGCTTCAAACTTTGGTTTCGGAAATACGAAAAGCAAAACAGAGGTTTCAAGAAAACCATGTACCGAAGCTTGTAGGAAACCCAAACGCAACAGAGGTGATCTGTAGCTACCAGAAAGAAGCAGGGGATATGATTGCAAGCGGAGAATTCGATTTCTACATCATCTCGAGTGCTTGTCGGTTCGGTTTGTACGAAATTGATTTCGGTTGGGGGAAACCGGTTTGGGTCGGGATACCTTCGATAAGACAGAAGAGCATCGTGACGCTTCTCGATACGAGAGAAGCTGGTGGAATTGAAGCTTGGGTGAATCTGAATGAACAAGAGATGAAGCTTTTCGAACAAGATAGAGAATTGCTCCAATTCGTTTCCCCGGTTTAGTAAGTAAACCAGATCTATTTGTTGAAATTGGTTTGTTTTACTTTGACTAGCCGTTTGAGGAGGCGACTGAAAAGGTTGAAATTTAAATAACGAATAGTGTGAATGTAATAAAGATAAAATATTAGTGTTGATTACTTTATTAGTACTAATAAGTACAATAACCAATCAAGATCAATATTACAAAACCCTATAAGAAGATCTAAACATACAGTATTTGGCCGCCGCATCGATCATGCAAACATTTGTCATCGAAAATGGAGAAAACATTTGTCATGATCAAGGCCGACGGTGTTTGATTATTTGATTCAGTCAACTGATCTCAGTACGTGGTTTTGATGTACGTACAGGCATGAAGCTGATGAATGTTGAGCGGAGTTTAGCTGAGAAACACTACGAGGACCTGTCTGGGGAGTACTTATTCAGGCGTCTGGTTGATTACATTGTGTCGTCCGGTCCTGTTGTTGCAATGATATGGGAAGGAAAGAATGTTGTGGAGACAGTGAGAGAGATGATTGGTCCGAAAAGACTATCAGAGTGCGGGCAGACAACCATCCGTGGGGAATATGGTATTGACTTAATCAGGAACGTGATCCATGGGAGTGACTCAGTAGTGAGTGCAAGCAAGGAGATTGCATTATGGTTCCCAGAAGGACCTGTCAACTGGGATAAAAAAATCAACAATTATTGGAACAAGTTCGATGATTGATCCGAGAGAACAGAGACATTGAGAAAGAACAAGACACAGATTAAGATATTAGTTAGGAGTCTTCATCTTCAAGGATTCCTCATAAGTCTTCTCTTCCTTTATTCTTGTTTGCTTTTACTTGATAGTCAAGTTGGTTTGGTGATGCAAGTTTCTGTCTTTTGTAAGTTTCTAAACCTATCAAATCATCCTAAGCAGTAAGCACTAAAGCACATACCTATAGATTGTATTTTGAGAAATCACTATCACAATGTTGAGGACACATAGGGAGGAGACATTGATGAACATCCCGGAGACTATCATCCACAATCCTTTTGGTATGGGAATGAATGAAGTAAGGCATGGAGAGGTGTGTCTGTCTAGTGCTGTGGTTTCCATCAGTTTCTGTAATGGTGAAGTGGAGAACTTGAAGTCAGTGGTTCTTGAAGACAATGATGCTCTTGATGAGGTAGTGCATCAAGATTCATATTTATCACATTGCAATTTTATGGCAATGTCTTCAAGAACATCGTGACGCTTCTCGATACGAATGAGCAAGAGATGAAGCTTTTTGAACTAGGTGAAGAATTGTTCCAATTCGTTTCTCTAAATCCAACATTTTCTCCATGTTCTCTGAACATAAAACCGGTTTATTAAGTAAACCAGATCTATTTGTTGAAATTGGTTGGTTTTATCTTGACTAGCCGTTGGGGATTCCACAACAAAATATAGTGAATGTAATAAAATAAAATATTTATTTCTCTTGAAAAATCACTTTGTCTACTTTATAGTATGATATAATAATTTTAAAACTTAAAAGTAATTTTAAATTTATTCCCTGTTAAAAAATTAAAAATATGAAACAAGATTTTGTCATATATTTTCATAAAGACACTTTTCAAAAAAATTTAGCATTTTCTATAATTTATTAACTTAGCATTAAAAATAAAAATTTAACTTGGAGCACACTCTCATAAATCAATACTAAAAGGCAAATATAGTGTTTATTACTAGGCTAATATATTTTTAAAAGAGAAATACAATAATTACCACATCAAAAACACTAAAAATAGTTTAAAAATACCACACATAGGAATTGTAGCTATAAATTAATAATATATTATACCACTTTTAGATGAAATTGTTTCCTATATATGACGTAATAAAAAAATGGAAGTGGCCGTTGGGGAAATTTAAATCAAAAGCTTTGAGTTCGGACCTACTTTGAGATTTGCAGCCGAAGCTAATAAAGATTTTAGTTTCAGTTTCTTAGATTAGGGCTTTTGGATCTCTCGAGATAAACAAAAATGGGTGAATCAATCTGTCTTGTGAGATCTTTCTCGCAACCTGCAGAGTTCTCAGCTCATGAAACCAACGAGGTCAGTTTTTTTCTTAAAGATTTGATTTTTCCGTACTCGATTCGTGTTCATCTCTGATTTTTTTGATTTGTCAAGATTCAAGATTTAGGAAGATACAATCTTGGATTTAGGGTTTGATTATAGATGCAAATCTTGAATTTGAAGTTTCTGGGAAGAGGGTTTTTGAGATTTGGGTTTTTGGGTTTTCCAGGTGGTTCCTCGTCGTGTTCTTACGGAGTCAGTATCGTTTGGTAGATTTGCGAATGAGACTTTATCGTGGGAGAAATGGTCAGCTTTTACTCAGAATCGTTACTTGGAAGAGGTTGAGAGGTTTACTAAACCTGGTTCTGTTGCTCAGAAGAAAGCTTTTTTTGAAGCTCATTTCAAGAGCCGAGCTGCTGGGAGAGTAGTAACACAGACGAAGAAGATCGAAGAAGTAAAGGTTAATAGAACCAGTGATGATGAGATTGTATGTGATGAAGTACCAAAAGATATTCTTGTTGATTCAGAAGTAGTGGTGGGTAATGGTATGAGCATGGATGAAGTAAGGCATGGAGAGGTGTCTACTGCTGAGGTTGATTCTGTTGTTCCATCCGTTCCTCTAATTATTGATGTTAAAACTGGTGAAGTGGAGAACTTGAAGTCAGTGATTGTTCCTGAAGACAATGCTCTGGATGAGGTAATGCATCAAAATTCAAAATTCATATTTTTTTCACAGTGCAATTACATGTCTTGTATCTCTCTAATCGTCCATGGCATTTTTTTCAGGAGAATTCTACTTCATTGAGTAAAGAAAGACGTCCTAGTTCTTCCGGATCCAAGGCGTGCACTAGAAAATTGTCATCCTCAAGTAGTAAAAGGTCAATTAGTGTATCCAAGAACCTAAGCAGATCCCCTCCTGAACCCGTTCACATGTCTATCAGCTGTGCTCCTGCTGGTAATACCGCCAAAACAATTGTCCAGATTCATCAAAACGGTTCTAGAAGCAGTACTATTGTTAATGATAAGGTAATGCATCAAACTTCATATTTATCACATGGAAATTCCATGTTTTGTATCTCTCTAAACGTCAATGGCAATCTTTTTCAGGAGAATTCTACTTTGTTGAGCAAAGAAAGACGTCCTAGCTCTTCCGGATCGAAGGTCTGCATTACAAGTTCAAAACTGGAACCTTCAGTTGTTATTGGACTGAATCATTCACTTAAGAACACTAGAAAAGAGTCATCCTCAAGTAGTACAAGGTCAACTAGTGTATCGAAGAAGCAGAGCAGATCACCTCCTGAACCCTTTCACATGTCTATCAGCTGTGCTCCTTCTGGTAATACTGATAAAAAGATTGTTGAGATGCCTCAAAACGGTTGTAGAAGCAGTACTATTGCTAAGGGTGCAGGGAAAGCAGACAAGAAGAAGAGGTCAGTTCCAATCTCAGTTCATATGTCACTCAACTTTGCGCCTTCTGCCCGTCAGGCGACCAAAACAATCCCAAAAAAACTGGCAAGAAAGTCCACTACACAGGAAACAACTTCATCAAATGCTAGAAACAGTGGTAACGAGCCAACGGGAGTGCCAAAAAGCCGCAAAAGACCATTGCCTCGAACATCCAAAGAAGGTTCTAAAACTGCAAAATGTTCAACCAGTGTAATTCTCTTCCCAAGTTTCTCCCTTTTAATGCGTATATCCCAGGCACGTATGCTTAGACTAACTCTTTCATATCTTGTAGGCTTCTGCTGCCAGGTTACCTGAACTTCCTCCTCCCAAGAACGAGCTATCAGAAAACAAAAGGTTACCAATCCACCCATTTTTAACAACATTGATAACTTCATACCATTACTTACTAAGTTACTATATGAACCTGATGATTAACATAATTTTTTTAATTACAGGAAAAAATTATCTGCAGAGAGTTCATTTTCATGCAAAGTACCCAACAATGTGCAAAGACAACCTTCTGTTGGGTAAGCGTTTGAAGTACTTATAACCCTCTTAGAGAAAACTATCTATCTTATATTACTTACTTCCATGACTTGAGTTGGTTTATCGAAAGTATTTGTGCTGGTTGTCTTATTTATGTTGAAATAAGATGGGATGTTTTTGTCTAATGCCCTGCAGCAGTGAAAATCTTTCGACTCATAGCAGAACCAAATCAAGGTCTGTCACTGTATCTTCTCCCTTCGTCTTCAGAAGTGATGAAAGGGCTGAAAGGAGGAAAGAGGTAGAACTATAGACGACCCCCCTTTTATTTCTCTTTCAGATCAGAGGACTTATATAGAACTATAGTTTAATAAAGCTCTCTTTTGCTGTGGCTGTCTCTGTTAGTTCTTCAAGAAACTACAGGAACAGAACAAGAAAGAGGATGCTGTAAAGGAGCAATTGTCATGTGTCTTCAAGGCAAATCAAAACACTCACGTAGCATCTGAAGAACACAAGAAGAACCCGCAAGTTGGTTGTTTTCAGGTAAACTAAAAAGCTTGTTATAAGACTCAAGTTGTCATAGTTTTGAGTACTGAATCTTTGATGTATGACATAATAATTATGAGCAGGTACCACTGATAAGCATGACTTCACCAAGATTCTGCAGGAACCAAACTTCAGGAACTGTTCAAACTCCTCATAAAGCTTCCTCAACGAAAATAATTTACACCAAAAAAACAGTCATGGAAAAGCTCAAAGGCTGCAAGATTCATCCCTCCTCCAAATCGCTGGCAAAGATCAAAACTCAAGAGAATTTGTCTCCTAATGTCTTGTGGCAGTAAGGTACATACATCAGAGATAAACCCAGTTAATCATTTCTTCAACAGCTGATATGAAACACACTTGACGATAATAGTAGAGATTCAGCTTTTCACGTTGAAGATTTCGAAAGTTTTGTCCTTTCAGCTCGTAATCTCATCTCAAGCTTATGATATAGGTAACTAGCGCTTGATTCATCTCGTAAAACACAAGCTTCAAAGAGCTTTGTAGAATATGTAGAACTATGTACTCTTCATATAACTATGTGCTCAATATTCTGTAGTGTCAATCTTGTACCAGTGTTGTATACATGGAGATTTGAAATAAAGAAAGCTATTGGTGGTCTAAAAGCTCTCAATTTTAATGGTTCTTCCTCATAGAAAGGAAGAGCAGCAAAGCTATCATTTTTACATTTGTTTTAAAAACGACACCGTAATATGTGATGTTGTGCTGTTGTGGTGTGGGCCTCTCGTTTCAGGGGAGAGAGAAAAATCTTATCTCTGTCGACTGTGGTGTTGTGATGTTTCTCTATCTTTCATCTTTTTTGCACTTCAAAGTGGTGAGAGACGTCCAGGTTGAGAAGAAAAATGGCGGCTTGTTCTTCTTCTTTCACTTTCTGTAGTCACACCACAATTCACTCTCTCGCTCAGAGAAAGACCCTTGTCACCAAAACCCAATTTTCAGTTCCCACCAAATCATCAGAATCTAACTTCTTTGGCTCCAGACTCTCTCACTCCTCCTATATCTCTCCACTCTCGTCATCTTCTCTCAAAGGCGGAATCTTTGCCAAGGTACATTTCACTAATCTTGCATTGGTATATTGTTTGCTACAATTGGATTAACTAGTTCTGGGGATGAGCTTCTTTGTTAGACCAATGCTGTTTTGGAACTTAAGGTTTAAATGCTGCTGTATTCTGCCAATGGTTTATATATGTTATTGAGCAAGCATTAGCAAGACAATATCTTTCACTGATTATGCAGTTCTCTTTTATATGATACTGTACGATTAGAAGAATCAAATTCTCGGTTTTGCATGCTACTGAAAAGAGAATCTTGAGATGTAAACTGAAACCTATTTGTGGTTGAGAACACATACAATGTAAAAATTGAGTATTTTGGGTCTGAATCTGAATGCTATGATGATAGATTTTCAGGAATATTATCTCTCGGTATGGTGCAGAATCAGAGAAAGTTGTAAACTCTGTCTGCTCTAGAGAGAAAGACCCATTTGACTTAAGCTGATTGGGCGATCTTTGAACTCTCTTAAACTTTCTCTTTGTCATGTTTGGTGGACAACAGGTTAACAAGGGACAGGCTGCACCAGACTTCACATTAAAGGATCAGAATGGAAAGCCTGTGAGCCTCAAAAAGTATAAAGGGAAGCCTGTTGTTCTCTACTTCTACCCTGCAGATGAAACCCCTGGCTGCACCAAACAGGTCTTTAATTTTTACTTATGTCTCTTTTACGCATTCATTGCGCTTATTTAGTGTTGTTAAATGTAAATGATTTCACATGTATACAACAGGCTTGTGCTTTCAGAGATTCTTACGAGAAATTCAAGAAGGCCGGCGCAGAAGTCATTGGCATTAGTGGTGATGACTCTGCTTCTCACAAGGTACATACATCAAAATTTCTGGTTTTTTAGTAAACCCCATTTCATTTCCGGGTCTTATAGAGGGTGTGGGACTTTAAACATTTTGCAGGCATTTGCGAGCAAATACAAACTACCTTACACATTGCTAAGCGATGAAGGAAATAAGGTGAGGAAAGATTGGGGTGTGCCTGGAGACCTGTTTGGAGCATTGCCAGGGAGACAGACTTACGTTCTTGACAAAAACGGTGTTGTTCAGCTCATCTACAACAACCAATTCCAGCCTGAGAAACACATTGACGAGACCTTGAAGTTCCTCAAAGCTGCTTGATCGTTCTCTCTTTCTCTTCTTTTTCTTGTCTCTTCTTCCATGCATGTCTCATGTCTGGCTCCCTGACCTTCCTATATTATTTCTGTTAATTATGGATTTTCAATAATACAAAGTTAAACAAAGATCACAACCGGAGAAGGATTTATTCAAGAGTAGTTAAAGTGATGCTAGGAGTTTGTTGGTTCTGTTGAAACAGAGTTGGTTATTGTTTGTTGAGTTCTGCCTTGTGGCCCTGTGTGTATACTTAAGTCTCTCGTTTCCATTGTGTACGCATCACTCTCTTTCTCCTGCATCCTACACTCTGCAGTAGTGAATCTTTTGTAACTCCTTGTGGAAACTTAGAATCCTCTAGTTGTTTGAGATCTTCGTAAAGATTCCGCTTTTAACGGTTGAAGATTTCAAAACTTTTTTCCTTTCAGCTCGTTCGTAAATCATTCAAACTAAATAACACAATTCAAGGAGCTGTGTAGAATATAATAGTCTTCACATATTTGTGCAATAGTTTTGTAGTCTCTCTCTTGTAACATCTTGTTTAATTTAAAATTTAAATGATCCCTTTCTCATTCTGTTTGTTTCTTGATTTTAGTAATGTCAGGAAGAAAGGTAGAGCCTTTGGACAGTTTCAAGAAATGGCAAAGCTCTCCTTTTTACATTTGTTTTGAAACGACGCCGTAATGAATCGGAAACGACGAGAGCCTCTTGTTTCATAGGAGAGAGAGAAAAATCTTATCTTTGCGACTGTGGTGGCGTTGTCAGCCATGGCAAAGACAGAGCCACGATCTCTCTCTTCTTTCTTCTTCTGTTCTGTGTACATTCAAATAGAGTCTCTCTGAAACGAAGCAGCGACTCTTACAAGTTCATTAGAGAAGTCTTGTCCTGTTTTGATTCCATGGCTTTACCTTCGTGCTTAAAGACTGCAGTTCCGATGTCTCCGACCACCGGATTTAATCTTTCCGGCAGTCTTATGAAGTCGGACAGTGGCTTTGCCGTTCCGACAAGGCTACAGAGCATCCGGAAAGGTGATCGAGAAAGATTGAGAATCCAAGCTGTTTTCAGCTTTCCTCCTGCGTTTTTGACTAGAAATGGTCGAGCTGAGAAGCAGAAACAGCTCAAACAAGATCTTCTTGAAGCCATTGCACCTCTCGAACGTGGTGCTACGGCCTCGCCTGATGATCAGCTTCGCATTGATGAGGTTCTTGATTTCTCTTCCTCGTGGGAACCAATATGGTCTTGAGAATAGATTTGGTACATTAGGGTCTTGAGAATGTGATTAAGAAACAATTCTGAGTGACTTTTGTTTGCATGGAGACAGTTAGCACGTAAGGTGGAAGCAGTAAACCCAACGAAGCAGCCTCTGAAGTCTGATTTGGTCAATGGGAAATGGGAGCTCATTTACACAACCTCTGCTTCGATTTTGCAGGCAAAGGTTTGAGCTTCTAATCTGTGAAACTTGTCTTACTTTTGTTGTGTCTATGTTTGGTTTTTGGCTTGTTATGTCAGTCTCTTTATTTCTTGAACAATGCAACAGAAACCAAGGTTCTTAAGATCTATAACAAACTACCAATCTATCAATGTGGATACACTAAAGGTGCAAAACATGGAGACTTGGCCTTTCTATAACTCGGTAAAGTTTCAAACTGCTGAATTCTCTTTTTGTACTATTTGCACAACTAGGTTTTCGTTGTGTAAGATCATATACATACTAAGCTCCTTTTTCTAACCAATCCATGTTATCCATTTGCTATAAATCTTCGAGATGTGCAAAAGTTTGTAGACTTTGTCACATATATGTATGATCACGTCCCATTGTGGCTAACAAGCTCAAGAACAGACTTTTGGTAAATATTTGTAAAGTGAGTCTCATATATTATACAATGTTTTCCTAGGTAACTGGAGACTTGACACCCCTCAATACAAAGAAGGTTGCTGTGAAACTACAAGTGTTTAAAATTCTCGGCTTTGTAAGTACACCAAAACTCTTGCTGTTATATGTGCGTGTGTGTCTATAAGAGAACCTATACTGATTGAGACACCATATACTTGTTTTGCTGATTGGTGTTTGTTGTGCAGATTCCTGTAAAAGCACCTGATAACGCTCGCGGTGAACTAGAGATTACCTATGTGGACGAGGAACTACGGTCTGTAGTGAATGATAGTTTTCGTTTTCATGTTTTTATAAACAAATATCCAAAACGTTTGAATCTTAAAACGTAGTTTTATTTTTTTGCAGGTTATCAAGAGGTGACAAAGGAAACTTGTTTATATTGAAGATGTTCGATCCAACTTATAGAATCCCTCTTTGATCTATCAAAACTTGGTTCCGAGCCATCATACATACCCTGTTGCTTGTTGTGTGTCTCTTCATCATGTATGTAATCTAACATTAAAAAAAAAACTAATAAGAGGGAGAAAAAAGAGACGAGCTTTTGTCAATGTTTCAACTTGTTCTAATCGACATTACACTAATCAAATAAAAAGCTCAAAACTTTGGATTGTCAGGATAAAATCAGAAAAGAACTCATGTTCTTCTCTGTTGGAAAAGGGGGTTATTCTAGATTCTAATTTGGATCACAATGTTACAATAAAAATTTGGTTTTTTCCACTTTCATGTTGTCTGTTTCTCTGATAAACGGCGTCGTGTGAAGATTGGGAGACACAAACCTCTCGTTTCAGAGTTTGTCGTCAAAGATGGGGAGACACTTTCTTCTTCCTTCCTTCTTCCTCGTGAAACTCTTTATTTGTTTTTTTTAGGAAACAGAGTCACTATGAATCGGCGCATTATACTTTAGAGTCTCTGATGAGTTTCATCGCTCTGCAATCTTGGAACAGAGGAGGTTCAACTTCTATCCATTACCTTCCTCCAGGTATGTAAGTTAGATACCTAACTCGATAATTATCATAAATTCTGATTATTCTACAAAGATTCTGAATCTTGATTTGGTTAAACTATAAAAAAACAAATGAATTCTAACTGTTGTCTTTCTTGATTTTAGTATAGGGAAGAAAGGTAGAGCCTTTGGATCAATTGTGGAAAATGGGAAAGTTCTCCTTTTTACTTTGCTTCAACGACGCCGTAATGAGTCGGAAACGACGAGGGCCTCTCGTTTCACAGAATTGAAAAGTCTTATCTTTTGACTTGCGGTGGTGTGTCTTATCAGCCATGGCAAAGAGGAGAACGATCTCTCTCTTTTTCCTCCTTCTTATGTGCCTGTCTATAAACAGAGTCTCCCTGAAACGAAACCCGACTCTTAAAAACTCCATTGGAAAAGCTTTTGTCCTGTTTTGATATCCATGGCTATACCTCCTTGCTTAAAGACTGGAGTTTTGAAGTCTCCGGCCATCGGATTTAATCTTACCGGCAGTCTTATGAAGTCGGAAGACAGTGGCTTTGCCGTTCCGACAAAGTCAAAGAGTATTCGAAAAGTTGATCGGGAAAGATTGAGAATCCAAGCTGTTTTCAGCTTTCCTCCTGTGTTTCTGACAAAAAAGGGTCGAGCCGAGAAGCAGAAACAGCTCAAACAGGAACTTCTTGAAGCCATTGAGCCTCTTGAACGTGGTGCCACCGCCACGCCTGATGATCAGCTTCGGATTGATCAGGTTTTTAATCTCTCTTGTTGTGGGAACGATTAGGGTCTAGAAAATGTGACTGAGAGACTAATCTGAGTGATTTTTGTTTGAATCGTGACAGTTAGCACGTAAGGTGGAGGCAGTAAACCCAACCAAAGAGCCTCTGAAGTCTGATTTAATCAATGGGAAATGGGAGCTCATTTACACAACCTCTGCTTTACGTTTGCAAGCAAAGGTTAGAACTTGTAATCTTTGAAACTTGTGGTGTTGTTTTGTATATGTTTTTTCTTGGCTTGTTGTGTCATTTTCTCTGTCTCTTTGACAATGTAACAGAAACCAAGGTTCTTAAGATCAATAACCAACTACCAATCTATAAATATGGACACACTAAAGGTGCAAACCATGGAGACTTGGCCTTTCTATAACTCGGTAAAGTTTCAAACCGCTGAATTCTCACCAATTTCACAAGTAGGTTTGAGTTGTGTAATGCCATCTACGAAGCTCTTTTGCTATAAATGTTCAATATATAGAAAAATTTGTGAATTTGTCACATATGTGTATGATCACGTTCCATATGTGGCTGACTAGGCAAGAACAAAGGACTGATACCAAAGTCAAATCATCAGTTTTAGCGTCATCTTTGGAGAGTAGTATTCTGTTAGCAGAATTTGTAAAATTAGACTCATATATTATTGCAAACTACAATGTTTTTCTAGGTAACTGGAGACTTGAAACCCCTCAATTCAAAGAAGGCTGTTGTGAAACTCCAAGTGTATAAGATTCTTGGATTTGTAAGTATACCAAAACTCTTGCTTCTGTATATGTGTGTGCGTGCTATAAGAGAAACTGTACTGATTCATACAACATATACTTCTTTTACTGATTAGTGTTTGTGGTTGCTGTGCAGATTCCTGTAAAAGCACCTAATGATAGTGTACGCGGTGAACTAGAGGTTACCTATGTGGACGAGGAACTACGGTCAGTAGTGAATGATAGTTTTCATTTTCAATGGAACAGGCAAACAACACAATGAATCTTAAAACAATGTTCTTTTTTACAGGATATCAAGGGGTAAAGGCAACTTGTTGTTTATATTGAAGATGTTCGATCCCACTTATCGGATCCCTCTCTGATCGAAAATATGGTTCTGAGCCATCATACATAGATTTATTTTAGATTACACATGAAGAGAGATAGAAAAAGACGAGCTTTTGTAAACGTTTCAACTTGTTCTGATTGAAATAAAGAAAGAAAGGATCCATGTATCTTTATTGAAAAATGGGTTACTGTAAGCAATACAAATTTGGGTGTGTTTTTTTTTTCCTTGTGTGTGTTTGTTATCAAAGATAGTCTTGAGGCGATTACTTCTTCGTTCTTCCTTGTGAACTCTTCTAACAGATGATCTAATTGTCTTATTTTTTTTTTAAATCTTTAGGGTATAAATTTTGATGCAATCACATAAATAACTAAGAAGAGCGTCTCAACAAAGTAAAAGGATATAACAGTAAGAAATGTTACTTCAAAAGGACTCCATTGATGTTATTTTGTATCCTTTTGAGAGTTTCGGTTTTTTTTAGTGATTCTAGCATTAGCATCTAACTCACCAACCTAGCTGCATTTAAGGCTATCAATAACTTCTTTCTTTTCATGTCAACAACCAAGACTTCAATATAGATTTTGACAACATTTTGGTTGGTAACATGTAAATCGATAACACATACTAACATGTCACCTAATTAGAATCCACGAATTGTTCTGCTTTGGAATCTTTAAAACAGAATCTGAAATTCTGAAACTCTGAGTTATGGTGGATGGTGTGTAGGCCCAACCACACCTCACTGTACAGATGATGTCTGATGAACCTTCTCACTCACACACATACACACACACGCACATGCACATATAATAAGTTGTGTCTTTCAAGTTTCAGAAGAACAAGGCTCCTCTTATCCAACGGTCATAACTCATTATTCACATCCAACTCCACTTCTTCTTCTTCTTCTTCTTCCAAAACATGTCTCAGAAGCCAAAGCATCTGTCTTTAGTTATGGCTTCACTTGTAATTGTTTTGCCCACTTTATTATCTTCATCAGCAGAGTCCAAGACTTATTGGGGAGATGTGGCAGCTCTCAAAGACTTCAAAAACTCAGTAGATGCCAAATCCATGAGTCCAGGCTCTTGTCTTAGTAGCTGGGACTTCTCCGTTGATCCCTGCGACAATGTGTTCAGCGACACATTCACTTGCGGGCTCCGCTGCGTATCGGGTCGGGTCACGGAGCTTAGTTTTGACCAAGCCGGATACTCCGGCTCTCTCTCTTCCTTCTCCTTCAACCTCCCTTATCTACAAACCCTCGATCTCACCGGCAACTACTTCTCCGGTCAACTCCCCGACTCTCTCTCCAATCTCACTCGTCTCACCCGACTCGCCGTTTCCGGTAACTCCTTCTCAGGATCCATACCCAATTCGCTCGGGTCAATGTCCCTTCTCGAGGAGCTTCTCCTCGACAACAACCGCCTCAACGGCTCTGTTCCGGCGAGTTTTAACGGTCTTTCCAGCTTAAAACGGTTAGAGATCCAGGTCAACAACATCTCCGGCGAATTCCCCGATCTGAGCTCGCTTAAAAACCTGTATTACCTCGACGCTAGCGATAACCGTATCTCGGGTCGGATCCCCACATCGTTACCGGACTCTCTGGTCCAAATCTCAATGAGAAACAACCTCCTCCATGGAACAATCCCTCAAAGTTTCAAACTTTACAACTCTCTCCAAGTGATTGATCTTACCCACAACAAACTCAGCGGCTCAATCCCATCTTTCATCTTCACTCATCAGTCTCTGCAGCAGCTAGCGCTCTCCTTCAATGGCTTCACCTCTTTAGAGTCACCTTACTATTCCCCTTTGAGTCTCAACAGCGAGCTCATATCCATCGATCTCAGCAACAACAGGATCCAAGGCGTGTTACCTCTGTTCTTGGGTCTATCACCAAAGCTCTCAGCTTTGTCCTTAGAGAACAACAACTTCTTTGGTATGATTCCAACCCAATACGTCTGGAAAACCGTATCGCCCGGATCCGAATTCTCCGGGTTTCAGAGACTCTTACTAGGCGGGAATTTCTTATTCGGAGTTGTACCGGGTCCTTTGTTGGCGCTTAAGCCTGGCTCAGCGAACGTCCAGCTCGCCGGAAACTGCTTCTCCTGGTGCCCGGCGACCTTGTTCTTCTGCCAAGGGGAAGAGCAGAGATCTCCTACGGAATGTAGAAAGTTTAGCCGTGTTATTCCATGATCTTCCTCATTTCTTGTTTTATATCTTAGTAGGGTTTCTCCTGCACCATTCTCTTTATCTCATGAAGAGTGCAATAACCATGGTTCTTAAGATCAATAACCATGGAGGCTTGGCCTTTCTATTACTGAGTAAAGTTTCAAACCACTGAATTCTCATTTTTGTACCGTTTGCACAACTAGTTCGCGGCTTGTTCCATTATGGCTTTGACTAGGGAAGAATAAATGGTTAAGACATTGATGTTAAGTGTCTTTACTCGATCTCTGCGAGTAAATATGCCTTTAGCAGAGTTGGTACTGGATACTTGGAAAACTCCCATGTGTACGTAATTATGGCCTTCTGAGTACACTGAAACTCTATTGCTGCTATATGTAATATTGCTACATTATGTTTGATAACTCACTGATATATTGAAATGGTTCTGCGTGAGCCATGATACATACCTTATATCGATTGTTATAGTCTCCCTCTTGATCATGTATGTAATCTAACAAAATCTAGTAATAGGGGAAAAAGAAAGAGACGAGCTTTTGTCAAGTTGTTCTGATCGCTGTGTGCACTATATCAAATGAAAAGCTCAAAACTGTGAATTGGCAAGAGAAATTAGAAAAGGACTCATGTCCCTGTGTTTAAAAATGGGTTGTTCACCTGTTCTAGATTCTAATTTGGATCGAAATGTCACAATAAAAATTTGTTTTTTCTTATCTTTCGTGGTGTGTTTGTTCAAACGACGCCGTTAGAAGCTGGTGCGACACAGACCTCTCGTTTCGTCAAAACAGACAATGGAAGAGTTTCTTCTGCCTTCTTCCCCGTGAAAACTCTTCCTTTGTGTGTTTTGGAAACAGAGTCTCTATGAATAAATCGAAGCAATATACAACTTGAGAAGACATAAGAAAAATTCTAATGGGTTTCATCGCTCTGCAATCTTGGAGCAGAGGAGCTTCAACTTCTCTTCATCTCCTTCGCCCTCGTCCAGGTAGGTGAGTTCGATTCCTAACTCCATATGATCAAATTTTGTCTATTCGATAAAGATTTTGAACTTTTTCTGGTTGAATTTTGTTTACTTGATCAGTTGTCTCCAACCCTAAGCTATATGATGCTCCAGCAGTACAGGTAGTTACTGTAAAAATTATTCCTTCTCTTGGTCCGAATAAAATCTGCTAACAGATGACCCAATTGTCTAATTACTAGTTTAAGTTTGATGTAAGAGCCTCTTCGAGTCGTAAATCACCTAAGAAACTCAGAAGAGAGTCTCAGCAAGGTAAAGACATAACCACAAGAACTGTCACCGAGAAAGAAGAAGTAGTTTCTTCTCCAAAATTTGAGGAAGCTCAAGTTGATACTCCAACTTCAAAGGATTCTACTGTTGATGTTGTTGTTGCTCCACGAGACAAAGTGCTTCAGGCGTGCACTGTAACTTCTGGTTTAATGTCTGCACTTGGTCTAATCATTAGGAAGGTGAATCCCATTTGAAAAGTTTTGATTTTTGTGATTCTAACATTTGCATCTAACTGATTTGGTTGCCACTAGTAGGCGTCTCATGTTGCTTCGGCTGAAGGATTACCGGTCCACGACTGCTCTAGTGACATACCATGTAAGGTTTCGAAAAGAACGATTATATGGTGTAGTTATCAATTGAGAGAATCAGTAAAGAAGACTGGTTTGTATTGTCTGCAGTTGGGTTTGAAACTTGGCATCTCGGGTTAGTTGCTGGAATTGTTGTGTTTCTATCATCAAGTAGGTTCCTGCTACTTAAATCTTGGCCAGATTTTGCTGATTCTAGTGAAGCAGCGAACCGACAGGTGAAAACATTACTCATTACATTCATATGGTTCTCTAAACTCTGCTTATCCCATCATTGGATTCACCACTTGCAGATTCTTACTTCACTTGAGCCTCTAGATTACCTTGTTGTTGCAATGTTGCCTGGAATTAGTGAGGTAAGAAATTAACAAACAAAGATACACATACAGAAAGTATTTCCTTTTAAAATATTTGTTCATTGGTTTGATTGATTATTCAACAGGAGATGCTCTTTAGAGGTGCATTGATGCCTTTGATCGGAACCAATTGGAACGGTATTGTAGCGGTTGGACTCATCTTCGGCTTACTTCATCTCGGAAGCGGAAGAAAGTATTCTTTTGCAATTTGGTAAAACATCTCTATTAAAACAGTTTGGTACCTCAATCTTGATGAGAATTGCGTAGATTGAACTTAGTTTAGTTGCATAACATGTTCTTGCATATTTGGTTTACTTATTGTTGCATTTTTTTCGCAATTTTCAGGGCGTCGATTGTTGGTATAGTCTATGGTTACGCAGCGGTTTTGTCGTCGAGTCTTATTGTTCCAATGGCATCTCACGCTCTCAACAATTTGGTCGGAGGTTTGTTGTGGCGACATAGTTCCAAGATCAAGTCACTGGAGTGAAATATACAAAAATTTACACAGAGGGGCTAAATTGAAAAGCTTACAATTTTAGTGGGTGTTTATGACAAAATTACTGTACCAACAACGGCTGCCACAAAGGACAAAGTGAAATTGGATCTTTCTACGTTAATGAAGTGAAAAGTGAATAACCAATCATCAAATCTCTTGCTTTTTTTAAGTGTATAAGTACTATTCCATGAAATTTATATATTAAAATTATAGAAATTGTATTTTTAAAATTACTGTTAATGTTATGTGAGTCCATGATAGATGATGTTTACAATTTCTTTATGAATTCATTGAAGAAGAATAATAATTACCGGAAAAGGAAGTGTTTTTTTTTTTTTCTGGTCAAAAAAGTCTGATGAGAACAGAAACGTGAACAATGGAGAGACAGAGACGTCTCTCTTCTCTCTTGTGCGAAATGTGAATTTTTTTGTTTAAAGTTTTTGTTTTTATAAATTCCAACATTCGAGAAATTAAACTTCTTTATTGATTTTTATAGAAATTTGCATACTTTACCTTGACATTAAAGCAACAAGCTTTGAAATTAAAAAAGGGAAAAAAACCTCAAAAACCCAGAAATCGAGTGAGGGGGAGAAGAGAAGAAGTGATATGCTAAATGGCGAATGGATGTGCTAAAACTGGTGGCTGTCCTAGTGATTACGTCGCCGTCGCAATTTCAGTAATCTGCTTCTTCGTGTATGTGTTTCCTTCTTCTGGTTTCAGCTTAAAAATCGCTTCTTTTTTCTAAGTTGTGAAGATCTGGGTTGTTCGTTTACTGGGTTTTGCTTGTTGACTCTTGACTTGGGTCGTCTTCGATTTTGTGGTTGTAATCGTTATTTAATGTCTCGTCGGATTTAGTTTTGTTTATATGACCCAAAGGATCTGTCTTTTGTTTCGTTTCAGCTCTTTTAAGCTCTGGACTTAGATGCTTTTTTAGTATCTTGACAGCAAGATTCACATACTTGTGTTTAATCAGTGGATGATCTTAGATTTGAAGCTCAAAAGCTTGATTTAAATGGCTAATTCCAAGTTGTTTCATTTCTCTGTTAAGTTGATTCTGTCTTATGGATTTTCACTTTGTTTACTAGGCTTCTATCACGTTCGGTCTTGCCGTGTTTGATTCACAAGGCTCCTCGTACTAATAGTAGCAGTTTCTGGATCCCTGTTATTCAAGTTATCTCCAGCTTCAACCTTCTCTTCTCAATTATGGTTAGACTACTTGATGATTCCATTGCTTTTAAGAATTCACTTCATTTTTTTTTTGAGTTCCTACAGGAACATTTCCTAAATTGAATGTTTTGTTCTTTCTATTTTAGATGTCAGTTAATTTGCTTCGATTCAGGACGAAACATTGGTGGCGATATTGCTATCTTTGGGCAGGTTTGTTTGGAAATCATGATTCCTCATCTTCATATACAAGTTGACAATTAGATTAAAACTTCTTGCACAATCTGATCTGTAATCTTGTAATGTTTGGTATTAGTGTGGATCGAAGGACCACTTGGATTCGGTTTGCTGATGAGCTGCCGTATAACTCAGGCGTTTCAACTATACTTCATATTTGTCAAGTAAGGATCAATGTCAGTCAAAATGCTTTCGACTATTAGGGGATATTGGATTACACTTCTATTTCTATTTGTCTAATTGTGTTTCATGTTATTTGGCTATATATATATATATATATTCTTTGCAATGTAGGAAACGTCTACCACCTGTAAAATCATACATTTTTCTACCACTTGTTTTGTTGCCATGGATCTTTGGAGCTGCAAGTAAGAATCTAAAACTTTGCTTTGTACTTTGCCATTGTTTTCTCTGTTTCCTTGGTTTTGGATATAAGTTATAACTCAGAAGCTTTTGATTTTGTTTTTTAAGTTATCCACGCAAAAAAGCCTCTCAATCGTCAATGCCACATGGGACCTCAATGGACTTTCCCAGTTGCAGGCCTTCATGCTCTCTATGTCCTTGCCTTAGTTGCATTCACAAGAGCCGTCCGACATGTAGAATTTCGGTTTGATGAGCTTAGAGATCTCTGGAAAGGAATTCTTGTCTCAGCCATTTCAATCATTATATGGGTAACAGCGTTTGTGTTAAATGAGATTCATGAAGAAATCTCTTGGCTTCAGGTTGCTTCAAGATTTGTACTTTTGGTTACGGTAAGAAGCTAATACCAAGATTTTGCTTATGATTTTGCACTCGGGAAAAACCGTTTTAACAGACTTGTGAGTTTATTCTTCTTTCAGGGTGGGGTTCTCGTCGTTGTCTTCTTTTCCATCTCGAGTAATCAACCTCTTCTTTCACAAATCAGCTTGAAGAAAAGAGAACACTTTGAGTTTCAAAGAATGGGTCAAGCTCTAGGCATTCCCGATAGTGGATTATTATTTCGAAAGGAGGAGTTTCGACCTATTGACCCAAACGAGCCACTCGATAAGCTACTTCTTAATAAAAAGTTTCGTCAATCGTTTATGGAATTTGCTGACAGGTACTATATTTGATGTGTATGTCTTATTTTTATCCCGGTTTTGCCATTTATTTGAAACTAAATCTTTGTATGTTGTTAGCTGCTACGCTGGAGAAACATTGCATTTCTATGAAGAAGTGTATGATCATGGTAAAATCCCGGTAGATGATTCGATAAGAAGAATCTACATGGCTCGACATATCATGGAGAAGTTCATCGTTGCAGGTTTATTATTTATCCATCTTCTTTTTCCTTATAAAGCTGCCTCAGATGTTGTCTGCTTAAATCTAACTATCAGTTCCTTAACCGTAGGAGCGGAAATGGAAGTAAACTTATCTCATAAAACCCGGCAAGAGATTTTAACCACGCAAGATCTAACTCACCCTGATCTCTTCAAAAACGCATTAAACGAAGTGATGCAATTGATCAAGATGGTAAAATAACATCTCTTTGTCACTCTCTTCACCTTAGAACATATTCTCTTGAATCTCATCTCTTTTTGTTTAATTATTTTGAAGAACTTGGTGAGAGATTACTGGTCATCCATCTTCTTCATCAAGTTCAAAGAAGAGGAGAGCTGCGACGAGGCAATGCATAAGGAAGGATGGAGCTTTTCATCTCCAAGACTAAGTTCAGTTCAAGGCTCTGATGATCCTTTCTATCAAGAACAGATGTCAAAGGGTTCCAGATGCAGTAGTCCTAGTTGAGGAGTCTAAAACAAGTAGAGACCAGAATCTTAATAGATGTTCATAGCAAATCAATCCATATGTAATCTCATTCACCTCTCATGTACATGTCTTTTTCTTAATCTTGTTATACCAAAATGTCCGGTTTTTGTTTGGTTTTGAGAATGTGTTATACCCGAAAGAAACTTTGGAAAAATGATATGTTACACTGATATAACATTTTTTTATTAGAATGTAATTTATAAATGTTACTCTTTTTATTTAACGTGTATTTGATTACCCTTTTTTTTTTTACTTTTCATATAAAAAGAGGATAAATCAATTGGTTTATTGGTCTATTTAGCTGTCTTTTTGTATCAAAAAATTTGGCTATATTTATGTTAAAAATGGTATTTAAAAAGAGTTTTAACAAACAACAAATTCTATTGACTTAGGTAATCAGTTATATTTCCAAGTAATTTCAGTATAAAATATTCCAATAAAATAAGGTTGAAAGAATCTTTTTTCCAATATACTGGAATGTTATTAAAAAAAAGAGCAAATTATATGTGTTGGTAAGGAGTCTTGTCAGCGAATGAAAAAAGTTTAAATTAATGTTTTCATTGTTGTTGTGACTATTTTCCCAAATATTAGTGGTTCTCATCAGATAAAATAAAATAGGGAAAAAACCCGAAAAATACGCCATATAATTTTTATTTGGCCGTTTAATTCGTGTAGTATTAGATTTGGAATAAAAATACCTGGTTTAATTTACGTTGTATTAAAAAAGCTTCGTTTAATTATTATTGGTAAATCGATACGCACGACTTAAGAGCCGTTAACGATGGTCACGGAATCATTAACTGGGGTTAAAAGATTACATCACGTGGTTAGTTAGGTTTAAACAAAGACATTGTTGTCCTTTCGTGTTTTCCCCAATTCGACTTTGAAATCGAAGAATCCTAAAAGCGATTTTGCTTCTCATCTTCTAATCTCTAAATCTGATGATTGCGATGTTTGTGGGCGTTTGATTAGTTGCGATAAGTTGATTACAGAGTGATGAGGTATGTCAATTCAAATTCATCGATTTAGGGTTCATAATTTTCTGGGTTTATTTGATTGGGTCCCGATTTCTATTTCCTCTAGTTTAGTTCAAGTTTTCTGGGTTGGGGATGTATACTTGATGGCTAATAACTTGAATTGTTTCAATTTTCAGTGGTTTCGAACATACAAAAGTGAATATTAAGGGTTCTTAGACTTCAAAATCGATTTGGGATAGATAAAAACGAAAGGATTTGTTTAAACTTAACTAACCACGTGATGTTATCTTTTAACCCCAGTTAATGATTCCGTGACCATCGTTAACGGCTGTTAAGTCGTACGTATCGATTTACCAATAATAATTAAAGGAGGCTTTTTTAATACAACGTAAATTAAACCATGTATTTTTATTCCAAATTTAATACTACACGAATTAAACGGCCAAATAAAAATTATATGGCGTATTTTTCGGGTTCTTTCCCAAATAAAATATAAACATTATTTCCCAAAGAAGTATTTTTCTAATATTTTTTGTTTGCTGTCCTACTATAAGGTTTTGGTCAAATATATATATGCAATTATTGGGTGTTGTCGCTTGCAACTCTTGATGATGATGTTCTTCCCAAGATAGTTTATAAAAAACTGAAGGGAATCTTTATGTATCAGTTTATCTGAATTTCATATAAATACTTAGTTTCAACACTATAATTTAGCTTACGTGAAATTCTATATATTGTAATTTTTCTGTTTTGTATTTCAAAACTATGATTATAATTTAACTTTTGGAAAATGCTAAAAACTTGATTTTTTTCTACAATTTTTTTTAAAACTATATAAATATTCTTTTTATCTCTAATTTTCTGTTTAAATTATTAATTATCTCTGTCTGGAATTTTTTATTTTTTTAAAATGCAAGCGGAATATTCTTTGTAGATGAAGCCACAACGTGCTCTTTGTAATTAGACAAGTTGAAATTGCTTCCAAGCATATGTATTCTTATGAATAATAAATAGAAAGAAAAAAAAAAAGATTATTGAACTTGTTCTTAATTTTACTTTAGAACGTAAACCGACCTAGGATGCGATCATACAAGCACTAATCATGTGCTAATATATCATTCATTTGCACATACTAGCATTAGTGCTAGTTGATTTGCGCATAGCATTTTAGATACAATCTTGCTTTCTTCTATACTTACCGTATTAATATTTGTTCTCACGAGAATAATGCATAATCGTATCAATGCATATGTTTTGATTCACGATGTTATTTCCACTGTAACCTTTGTCCATATATCGAACTAGGACCGGACCGGACCGATCACAGTTTTTAGTTTTTGACATGAGCATTGAGAAGAACCATTATGAAGACACGTTTCTATTGTCCCTAGCTATATCTTGGTCGGTGTGGTGTTACAAGTTTCATTTGCTCCTTGAGAACAATTTAATCGCTTAAACTAAGGATTTTGCTAACTTAATTAGGCTTAAACCAATATCATTCATTTTCATCATCATCATCTAAATATAGAAACTCAAATTAAAATGAATTTAACAAATTTAGTTCTAATTTTCTGACAAGAAAATGGTAATAAAGCATGAGGATGTCATGTCATCATAGTGGATAACTATGTCAGGACTCATGAGTATATATAATTAAACTATTTAGAAAAAATCAATGTTATTCTCAACGTATTAAACTATAATAAAGATCCGTTGGATGGATAACTTGTTCTACCACTCAAACCTTGTTTTGGATGCACACGTCTATTTACACATGCATACATGTACATGATGTTATTATACACCATTACAATTTAAAACACATCCATAACATAATCACAGTTTTATCAGAAATTTTTGCTTATGTTAATAGAGAAAGAGAGAGAGAGAGAGAAAGAGAGGATATTGCTTTATAAGTTCGCATAAAGAGACACCACAGCTTCCTTTGCTCTTCATTCACTTCTCTCAACGCCAAATTCGCAGTCTATCGATAAATAAAAAAATAAAAAACTTTCCTTTTTGGATTTAGATTGTGATTCCTTTTTCTTCACCGTCAATTCTCTAACAAAACATACTCCGATCATTCTTTCTTTTTATGATCTGATCAGTAAACAAAACACAAAGAAACTCACTTTGTCTTGTCTGTGAATTTCTATCTTGTTGATGATGATGAACTGATGATTTTGGAATTCTTGTTGTTGATGATGATGATGATGATGATGATGGTTTGATGCAGATGGGTTTTCAGAAATTTTCTTAACAAGTAATCACCTTTTATCATCCAGCTCCTTTGATTTTTTGACTCTGATCGTGAATCTGGGTAATGATCAGATTATGGATTTGTTCAAATTGATTGGATCTCTTTGATGGGTTTGTTTTAATCAAAGTTGATTTCTGGGTTTCTATTTTTGGTTATGATCATGGTAAAGGTCAAAACTTTGAGTTTCCGTGTGCAGAGGAGAAGGAGAAGTCCTTTGCGTGTGACCAAACATTTATCTTCTTCTTTTTTAATCTTCCGTATCAGATCCATTTCTTTATTGAATCATCCTCATCATTGTTGATTCCTACACTTCTCTTCCAAGTTTCCTTCTTTTTTTATTCTATGTTGATTGTTCACAGATTCTTTCTTTTGTTCTTGATTAGTCAAAGGTTTCAACTTTTTTTGTGTATCTTTGCTTCTTCTTGACTATTTTGTTTACAGCAGTTGATTTACTAGTTCTGTTTTTCTTCTGTAGATCAAAAGTTTAGAGCTTGTTGAACAATACTTGAGACTACATGTAAGATTTTTGGGATCTTGTTCTGTGTGTTTCTCTAATTTCAGACAAAATCAGAGTGTGACTCTCTCTTTGATTTGTGATTTGTAGATTATTGTGTTAAAAAATGGATGCAACAACGAGTGGAGTTCCGGGTTTACAGTACATTAACTTACAGGAGCAACCGGTTTCGAATACTTCTCCTCCAGTGTCTCCATTTCAGCGGCCAAAACGTCATTGCTTTGGTGACTCAACTCCTGGAGAGTTTCCTTTAGCAGCTAACCCTTCTATTGTCCTTCATGTTCTCACTGAATGTAAATTGGATCCTCGTGACCTCGCTAATCTAGAGGTTTTGTTTCGATAATGTCCGATAAATCTTTACTGATATTTTTCTTTTTGAGGATTGATTGTTCTGCTGATTTTGTTTTTTTTGTTGATGTTTTAGGCAACATGCACTTTCTTTAGCCAGCCAGCAAACTTTGCTCCGGACTGTACTTTATCATTACCGGAGCTCGCTTCTCTTGATATGTGTAATAAAAGGGCGATTTTCAAGCCGATGAATGAAGAAGAACGTCAAGAGATGAAACGCAGATGCGGAGGATCGTGGAAACTGGTCCTTAGGTTCTTGCTGGCTGGTGAAGCGTGTTGCCGAAGAGAGAAATCTCAAGCAATTGCTGGTCCTGGTCATAGTATTGCAGTCACATCGAAAGGGGAAGTTTATACTTTTGGATATAATAACTCTGGACAGCTAGGACATGGCCATACCGAGGAGGAAGCTCCAATCCAACCTGTTAGGTCAATTTCATGATCATCAAGACTGAAAAAGTGAAGATCATATATGCTCTTGGGTTGATGGAGTGTTATCGTGCTGTGCAGATCATTGCAGGGGATCCGAATCATCCAAGCAGCTGCTGGTGCTGGTCGGACAATGCTAATAAGCGATGACGGAAAAGTTTATGCATGCGGGAAAGATTGTTTCGGGGAAGCTGAACAGGGAGGGCAAGGGACTAAACCGGTTACAACTCCTCAGCTCGTGACATCTTTGAAGAACATATTTGTTGTGCAAGCGGCTATCGGGAATTACTTTACTGCTGTTCTTTCCCGAGAAGGAAAGGTTTATACATTCTCGTGGGGTAACGATGCTATACTAGGACATGGAACCGAGGCTGCGGATGTCGAACCCCATCCTTTGTTAGGCCCACTCGAGAATATACCTGTTGTGCAGATTGCTGCTGGTTACTGCTACCTTCTTGCCTTAGCTTGTCAACCAAATGGCATGTGAGTATCTTCTCTATACACTCTTTCTTTTTTGGTTAACTATCTAATTTAGACAGAATCAACAATGTTATAGGTCAGGTTCTATAATTTGGAAATGTCGGTCATATTTGCAAATGCCTTAAGCAAAAATGATGTTGATCCTAAATTTTTCATTTCTTTTCTATGAGTTATGTGTAATAGAACACTATGCATTTTCTCAGGCACTAATAGTATGCTTATTTTAGGTCGGTTTACTCGGTTGGTTGCGGTTTGGGAGGCAAACTTGGTCACGGCTCAAGAACGGATGAGAAGTATCCTCGGGTTATTGAGCAGTTTAAGATATTAAATCTTCAACCAAGGGTGGTTGCAGCGGGTGCTTGGCATGCTGCAGTGGTAGGTCAGGATGGAAGAGTGTGCACTTGGGGATGGGGAAGATATGGTTGCTTAGGACACGGTAACGAGGAATGTGAATCAGTTCCTAAGGTTGTTGAGGGGCTAAGCCATATAAAGGCAGTTCATGTTGCAACAGGAGACTACACAACTTTTGTGGTCTCGGATGATGGCGATGTTTATTCGTTTGGTTGTGGCGAATCCGCTAGTCTCGGTCACCACCCAGTCTTTGATGAACAGGTTAGAGTTTGACTATGGCCTCACTTGTTTATTTTTCTTCCACTAGATGTTATTATTAATGTCTATTTTTGTCAAATAATCCACAGATTTTTTGCGTTTAAATCAAACATATGAGTAGGAAAATGTTTGGTGTTTCAAAAAATATGAAGAAAGGATTGAACATACAAACGCAAATGACAATTTGAAGTCTTTATGTTGGTGGTAAAATGCGTCAAAACTCATTTGACTCTTACGTCTCTGTTTTATTGCGCAGGGTAATCGGATAGCGAACGTGCTGAGTCCAGCGGTAGTAACATCATTGAAACAAGCGAACGAGCGGATGGTTCAGATAAGTCTAACGAACTCGTTATATTGGAATGCTCATACGTTTGCGCTCACGGAATCAGGGAAGCTATACGCGTTTGGCGCAGGCGATAAGGGTCAGCTCGGAGCAGAGCTTGGTAAAAACCAATCAGAAAGGTGTGTACCGGAAAAAGTGGATATAGATCTCAGCTAGCTAGCGGTTTGGTTGGCATGAATTTGCGTTTCGACCGCAAGAAATTTGCGTTTTCTTTGTATGTGTTTATAAGACTTGAAGGTTGTACAAAAGGTGGGAAAGTGGGGGGAACATAACGTTTAAGGAACTTGTCTTAACAATTTCATTGTATAGGGTCTTAGATTATTCTAATTGTTGTTAATGGAAGCTTTAGTTAAATGTTGTTCATAATTGTCAAATATTTTCATTAAATCGATTTATTATCAGATTCTTTCTATTTATTCTTACATTTTTTTTTGTTGTTTTTACATTAGAGTACTATAAAAACTTGAGCAAAACAATCCTATTTAATTAGTTGGTTTTGCTAAATTTTTGATAAGATTGACTAATTGAGACAAATAGAAGAAAGCTTAAATTAGGACTAAGATGATATGTGTGATAACATTTTTCCCTACCGTTAATATATTTGGCAAACCTTAAATTTCTCACTTTGATCAAACAACTATATAAACAAAGAGCCTCATTACACAATTCAGAAAATAATAAACAAAAAAAAATAGAAAATACCCATAAAACATTTTTAAGTTTTTTGGGATTACTAACTAATAAAACTAACTAAAAAAAAATAATGGCGCGCCTTCACCTAGCTCTCCTCCTCCTCTTCGTCGTTATCTCCGCCGTGATCGTATCAGCTGCTGATAAACCACCGTCAACCACCACCGCCTCAGCTCCCACTACCACAACTCCGACTGATGACGTTGTAGACGATAATACTATTGGAACAACCGACGACGATACGGCTCCTGCTCCCGGAGATGATGCTTCCGGAGATGAGGAGGTGGCTGTCGCAGGACCTATCGGAAGCGATACTTCGTACGCTAACTATCCGCCACCTCAACAAACTTCTGGAAGCGGAGCTGCCACCGTAGCTTTCGGCTTTGTTTCTGTCGTTGCTGCAACAGTTGGATCGGTCTTCGTTTTCTAGAGATGTGATCGGCGCCGTGAAAATGAATATTTTGTAATATTTTCTTGTAGATGTATTAAGTATTTTGACCATCCCGTCTTCGAGTATACATCGATAGATAAAAACTGGGATGATACATAACTATTAAATATGAACCAAAAAAAAATTAATTTAATTTGTGTCCAATCATTATAACATGAGTTTCTTGATTCATTTCTTGATTCTTGATTCTTGAATCTTGAGGATTACGTCATATCATTATCAACACGACATGGGCCGTGTTATGTACAAGATATAGCCCACAAGACATGGGCCGTATTTTTTCACAGGCCTAAACTCAGGAGTAAGCGCGTGTCTTTCACGTCTAAAGAACCTTGCGAACCAGACGCGCGTGGATGCGGTTTCGCCATAAAACACTCTCTAGCCGATAGAAGAATTTTGCAGAGAAGCGAGAGTCAATGAAGGTCCAACGGTCAACCTTTTTCGCGGTGACCGGAAAATCAAATCTTCGTCACTTTCATTCGTCTTCTCAGGTCCTCCTCTCTGTTCCATTCGTCTTCAAAATAATTAAAAATCGTTTCTTTTGCAATTGCAGAGAAAAAAATGTGAGCTTTTTCTATAATTCTCAATTGCGTTTGGGGGATAATATTTTCACAGTGTCTTAATCGATTTCAGAGAGTACCCATTTCTTCTGAGAACGAGTCACGAAACTTTGTGTCCAAATTGCTCGATAGGAAATGGGGATTACTGAGTCCTGCATCTCCAATTCAGCAGATTAGTGTTTCTTCTTCTGCTAAAAGAATCGAAAAATTCTCCTTTTCCAACAACACTCGTCCGCATCTCGGAGATGAGATGTTAAAGAGAGAGAAAGAAGAATCTTCTTTTTACATTCTGAGAGATGATCTTTTACATCCTCTTGTGAATGGTAACAAAGCTAGAAAGCTTGATGCTTTGCTACCACTTCTTGAGGATTATAAAGTCACTGATTTGGTGAGAATGTGATCTCTTTACGATATCTTTCAATTGGGTTTTTTATGAGCAGGGTTTTAAGCTTAGAACTTTTGTTGTATGTTAGGTTACATGTGGAGGTTGTCAAAGTGCACACACAGCTGCAGTTGGTAAATGTTTGAATCTTTTAGAGGATTTAATCGATTTGGGTTTTGACTGAAATAGAAACCAGGTGCTTGTATCTTGCAGCTGTTTCGTGTGCCGAGAGAGGTCTAAGATCACATTTGCTACTGCGTGGAGAACAGCCTGAAGTTTTGACTGGCTATAACCTTGTTTGTACTATGTATGGAAATGTCCAGTATATTCCAAGATCGAGGTATGCCAATAGAGAAGATATGCTGAGAACTTACGCTGATCTGGTCGCTGGGGAAGACGGTTCTGTCTTATGGGCTAAAGACATTGTAGAGGGACTTGAGACTATGGATGTTGCAACAATGGATGATTCTTTTAGTTCCAAAACTTCTGGTAGAAAGGTTTTGATAGTCAATGAAGGTGCCGGAGATGCTCTTGCATTACTTGGTAAAGATCGATTTTGGATACAGTTTAAGTAGTGGACCAGATCACTGACCAAGATTATTGTTTAACAAGGGCTTTGTCACAACGCAGGTATGTTTCGGTTAGTGCAGTACTTGTCTCAAGATCATATACTCGGGAAGAAGAGGCCGGTCAAATTTGTAGTTGATGCTGGAACTGGAACAACTACTGTGGGCTTAGGAGTTGCAGCTTTGTCTTTAGGGTTAGGCTTTGTTTACAAGATTTATCTATACACATTGTGTCTCTATGTTTTCAGTGTACCTAAGCTTGTAGCTTCTTGATTACTGTCTCACTTAAAATCTTCTCAGGCTTCCATGGGAGATCAATGCGGTGATGTTAGCTGATACACTCGAAAATTACAAAAGACATGAAGATCGCTTGATAGCAGAATTTACGAGGCAGTTTCCTGCATCGGTCTTCTGCAGCTTGGATATGAATCATATGATCAAATGGATACATCGTCAACATCCGAGAAAGTATGCATGCAATTTCTTCTGTTTTCAATTGAAGATATACTTAGAATGATCATTTCCACACCAAGTTTGAAGCTTGATAAAGTGGTTGGACTGATTGTTCTTAGATCAGTTAACAATCTCCTTTTGTTCTTGCAGATTTGGGAAGGTCTTGGAAGGAGAAGTGGAGATGTGTCGGAAAATTGCACAGGAGACGGGAGTTTTGGTGGATCCAATGTATACTTTAGCTGCTTGGGAGACATCAACAGAGCTTGCGCAGAACGAGAAATCCAGCATTGTGGTTATGCTTCACACTGGAGGCACCCTGGGGATGTTTGGTCTTGCTCAACGATACAAATCTTGTTTCACTAAGTTGAACGACTAGGATATAGTTTCTCAGACTTAGAGCCGGAGATCTAAAGATAGTGACTTTATATCTTCAATTATTTCACACTACTATTTATTTTAGCAATGCAAATATACGGCCAAGCAGAATAAGTTAGACATTTAGTCGAGGAATCACAACTTGTGAATCACAAATCAAGTTTTAAAAAAACTGCAAGAGTAAGCAAATAAACATGCGTGAGCAAGCTATACATTATACAACGTTTGACAATATTTTAAGCATGGAGTCAAGAGAATTAAAAATACAATAATCAACACAACAAGAAATCAAGGAAGCACAAAACGCAGTAAGAACGGGCAAGAAATATGGAAGACTGCATTTATTAATTTATGTATAGATGCTCAACCAAAGAAAGAAGCATGCAAGCACAAAATGCAGTGTGTATGGATGCAAATGAGCAAATAAGTATGAAAGAAATGAATAGATGCATGAATATATGTATGGATGCATGTATGTATGTATGTATGTATGTATGTATGTATGTATGTATGTATGTATGTATGTATGTATGTATGTATGTATGTATGTATGTATGTATGTATGTATGTATGTATGTATGTATGTATGTATGTATAGATGCATGTATGTATAGATGCATGTAAATATGTTATGCGTGTGATGTGTATATTTATATGATTTTTGCATGTGTTGTGTCTGGCTTCGTTAAGTGATTTGGAAGATCGAAGAATCTATGAAACTAGACCACATCACATTAGACTGTGAAATCTGCAACTACATAAGATGAACATGGACCTTAATGTCAAGTTCTAAGACCATGTGCTATATTGAAGAGAACATCAAATTATTAAAGCAAACTCACAAGATCAAACATGAGTAAAAGATAGAGGACATATACCTTGGAAGGAACTAGCTCCTCTGCTTTGTGAGTAGTGAGGACCGTCCTAACTTTTAAAATTTAAGTCTATTAGTCTCCTCTACTTTGCCAATTAGATTTAGAAGTCTCATTCTAAAGTTGAGTACTTCCAAGCATTAGAAGAAATACATACTAAGAGTGAACACTTAAGAAAATTATCAGTTGAAATTACTATATGGACGAAGACTTACCTCACGATAGCCAAAGATAGTCGAAAGAGATGGGTAGATGTTCTCCATATATATATGATGCTTAAAAATATCAGCACCATTTAGCTCATCGCCTGAATCCTGACCACCTTTCATAGACAAAACTATATCATTATCACAGAGCTTAGACAACAGAAACAGGAACTAATCGAAAGAGGAGAACAAAGTTGTTTGCAAATGGTTTAAGTGATGGAGTGCTAACTTACATGCTCACTTTTTTGTGATTGGGTCAGCACAAATTTGAGGTCATCAAGTAGTATACACATATAGTAGCTTTTGTACAATCAACAAGATAGTGGCAAAACAAATTCATCACATACCGTACAACAATTTCTAAAGAAATTTAATGGTCTCCTCTGCTTTGTAAGTTAGATCTAGAAGCCCTGTTCTGAATTCAACCATGCATTCAGAAAACATAGTAAAATGAACTCTAAGAAAAGATATATCATTATCACAGAGTTTATGTAGCAGAAACGAGAACCATAGATCAGAAAGTGGTGAGCAAAGTTCTTTGCTAGTTGTTTAGGTGATAGAGTTCTAACCTACATACTCTTTTTTTTTTTTTTGTGATCAGGTCAGCAAATACAATTTCAGATTTGACCATCAAGTAGGTCTGTAAAGTAAAGTTGCAGAAACAAAAAACATTCAGCAGCTCACTTTTACCTTTTACGTACAACAACTTAAGTAAGAAAGCATAAACCTACTAATGATGTTGAAGCAAACCTTACTAATGAGAGGTGAGAAACTCGGAGACTACAGAGCCATGTTTTGTGAGATGATCCTGCAAGAGTGGTAAGAAATTGATGTATAAATTAGCAAAATCCTAAACAAGTCCGAGTCAATGATAAAGTGTAAAATCACCGTAAATGTTGAAAAGGCATCAGAAGCAACATCAAAGTCTGACAGTTCCACAACATGGACCATCAAAAGATATGGATGTTTCTCCATATATTCGTTAAAAGATATGGATGATTCTCCTAAAGGTCTCCTCTGCTTTGTATAACCATATAAGCTTCTTTCTGAAATCGACCATTCATTCAAAATACATAGCAAAATGAATTCTAAGAAAAAGTTGAAAGTACTATATAGACATACCCCACTGGAGGCTAGACCGTCAAAGGAGATGGATTGTTTAATGGTCTCCTCTGCTTTGTTAATTAGATCTAGAAGCCCTGGTCTTAAATCAACCATGCATTGAGAAAACATTGTAAAACTGAAATCTAAGAAAAGTTAAGTTGCAACTACCATATTGACAAAGACATACCACATGAAAGTTAAGACCATCAACGGATATGGATGTTTCTCCATATATTGGCAAGTGATCATTCACCTCAGAGTCTAGTGATTATTTGATCACCTTTCATAGACAGAGATATATCATTATCACAGAGTTAATGCAGCAGAAACGAGAACCATAGATCATAAAGTGGTGACCAAAGTTCTTTGAAAATTGTTTAAGTGATGGAGTTCTAACCTACAAACTCATTTTTTTTTTTTGATTGAGTCAGAAACCATCAACTAGATTTGTAGAGTAAACCTGCAGAAAAAACAAAACATATTCAGCAGAGCACTTTTCCCTTTTACATACAACAAACTCAGTAAGTAAGCATAAACCTATTCCTTACTTTAAGATAACAAGTAAGAAAGCAAATTAAAGAAGTAAGGATGGAAATAATGAACAAGTAAACAAGCATGAAACGGAAACAAGGAAGTATATAAGCATACAAAAAAGTTAAGGGACAAAAACAAGTTTATGACTCAAGCAATCAAAAGCTGGTAAACGCACAGAATAAAAAGCCAATGCAAGCATGATGTATGTATTTATTTTATTCTATGCAAGCCTACTGTTTCATCAAGTGATTTGAAAGAATCCTATTTGTAAGCTCACATAGTCACACTAGACTATGAACTCTCCCACTGCAGAAGAAAAGAGCCAATAACATCAAACCGTAAGAGGAAAATCAAAAATAAGAATAACGTACCTCGAAAAAAGCAAGACATTTCCAGGGAGATAGAGAACTGTATAGATTTATATGCATTGAGAAAAAAGCCAGTTCTACAGTGATTTCTTCACTTATTTGATTAATGACTAATTTGCCACATTTAGAAAACAGAATAGTTAATCACATATACACTGATCAAACTACACATCTTTCAAGGAAGAGTTGATATATGAACCCAATGAGTTCAAAACATATCCTTACTCGTAAATAGTGTAGTTAGTAAATAAGAAATCTGAGAAAAGCTATACCAACCACGAATACTCTCATTTCTAACAATACTATTTAAAAGGTGATACATATACGAATATAGTACCAACATAAGAATTGTTGCAAAGAGAACCTTCAGTGACAGCCTTCTCGTCATATAACCAAGAAATATATTTCATGTCTTCATGTAAACTTTAAAAAGATGTTGAAGCAAACCTTACTAATGAGAGGTGAGAAACTCGGAGACTACAGAGCCATGTTTTGTGAGAAGATCCTGCAAGAGCGGTAAGAAATTGATGTATAAATTACCAAAATCCTAAACAAGTCCAGGTCAATGATAAAGTGTAAAATCACCTTGAATGTTGAAAAGGCATCAGAAGCAACATCAAAGTGTGACAATTCCTCGATGCAGGCAGACTCTAAAATATAACTGAAGAGGCACTACAAAAATTTAACCATGTCAGAAAAGAATAACACTCGACCATTGTACGTAAATGAACTCGTTACAACACATTGAAAACCTTGAAAAGGAAAAGCAAAATATTGGATTTGTCTTACTTAGCCAGCCTTGGGAATTCAATACTTCTACAAGTAACATTTTTGTTAGAACTTGGAACCAAATATGTAAGTCCTCTGCTTTGCCAATTAGATTTAGAAGCCTCATTCTAAAACCAACTACTACAACACATCAAAAAATAATAGATGGTAAAGAGTGAACTCTTAAAAAAATGATAAGTTGAAATTACTACTTACCTCGGATAGCCAAAGACAGCCAAAATAGATGGGTAGATGTTATCCATATATTGATGCAGAAAAATATCAGCAGTGATCATTTAGCTCATTTTCTAACTATTATTCTGATTAGCTTTCATAGACAAAGCTATATCATTATCACAGAGCTTATACAACAGAAACGAGAACTATACATCGAAAGAGGAGTGATGGAGTGCTTACTTACATACTCTTTTTGTAATTGGGTCAGCAGATAAGTTTTAGATTTTAAGTCATCAAGTAGATACGTAGAGTAAACCTGCAAATATTATTTTTCATCAGATCATTTCCCCATTGTAAACACAACACACCAAACAAGCAAGCATTAAACCATTAACATTTTCCTATTCAAAGTACTTCGAACACAAGGTTTCAAATAACAAAATTCATCAAAGTTTAAGAACTCTTTAGAAAATAAACAATTTAGCAGAGTCATCTACATCATGCAGTTTAAATGAAGAATCCATTAAAAACAATACAAAGAAGAAACCACGGCAAGCGAGCTAGAAAGTAGTGGAGAAGATACTCACTTGTGACTTGCTGGAGAAGAGAGACAACAACTTCAAACTACATGAGAGACAAAACCACCACATAAAGATTGAAGACATACCATATGAAGTCAAAGGTGATAAGCAAGAGATCAAGATCAAGTTGATAGGATAGTGGAGAAACTGCAGAGAGGGATATTATGTTCATTTCACACCATTTATCAATACAGATTTCCACTTGAGTCTGCAAGAAGACAGTGTGGAAAGCTTATTTCAATGTAAATTATTAGGAAGCAGATACAAAAGCATTGAAGACTGCAAATCTGAAAACAACTGAAGATTCATATTTAATTTTTACCTTCACACTAATAATGTCAAAGTTGGTTTGGCTGTCCTGAGTAGTGATCTAGTTAGTCTAAAAACTACAAGAAATGGTTGGTTGGCATCATAACTGCTACAGTGATATTTTGGGTAGAACTTGGAACTTTTAATGTCCTAAATAAAGTATTAGAAGACAAACCTGAGATCGCAAGAAATTAACTTGGGTACAAACAACCAACAAGAAAGAGGCAAATCAGAATTCATCACGCATCATACAGACTTTTCTAAAGAAGTTATATAGGTCTCCTCTGCTTTGTATGTTAGATCTAGAAGCTATTCAAAACACATAGCAAAATTCTAGGAAATAATAAGTTGAAACTACGATATTGACAAAAAGACATATCCCACTAAGAGGCTAGACCGTCAAAGCAGAAAGATAGTTTCTCCATATATTGATACTAAAAAGATTTGCAAGCGATCACTTACCTCAGAATCTAGTGACTATTTTGACACCTTTCCCTCATCATTATCGCAGAGCTTGTGCAACAAAAACAAGAACCATTGATCAGAAAAAGGAAAAATATCCCGTTATGAATGCTTTAGGTGATAGAGTGCTAACTTACATACTCCTTTTTATGTGATTGGGCCAGCACACAAGATTCTATATTTGATGCCATCAACTAGATATTTGGAGTAAACCTGCAAAAATATTTCAGCAGACCATTTCCTATTCGTGTATACAACAAATTAAGCAAAAAACGCATAAACCTCTCTTCCCATTCAGAGTACTCCAAACACATCTATATAGACTCCATGAATCCAAGCCATCATAATATAACCAACAAGAGAGAGGCAAATCGTATTAATCACACTACACACCGTACAGACTTTTCTAAAGAACGTAACAGTCTCCTCTGCTTCGTGAGTTAGATATAGAGGTCTTCTTCTGAAATCAATCATGCATTCAAATAACATTTAAAACCAAACTCTAAGAAAAAATAATTTGAAAGTACTATATTGACTAAGACATACCCCATGAGAGTCCAAACCGTTAAAGGAGATAGACAAATTCTTCATATAGTGATTCTTATAGAAATCGACAACTGATCATTTACCTTATAATAATCCTAAATGACACCTTTCATGGAAAAAGATACATCATTATCATAGAATTTATGCAGCAGAACTGAGGTCTATAGATAAAAGAAGAAGAAAGTCATTTGTAAATTGATTAAGTGATGGAGTTCTAACTTACATACTGTGTATTTGTGATTGCTTCAGCACATTATACTTCAGATTTGGTGCCATCAACTAAATTTGTAGAGTAAACCTGCAAAAGAAAAAGAAAAAAAAATCATCAGAGCAGTCTCTCATAGTAGAAACTCATTAAACACTTACCCTTTACAAGCTCATTGGGCGTCAGTAGACTATGCCTTTGGAACAACAGCACCTACTACGTATATATACATAATAGAGCAGAACTATTTGCAAACTTAATAATCTGAGGTAGTAAACTACATCATGCTTCATGCAGTTTCAATGAATCAACCATCAAACATAAAACCATGAAGAAAGCACTGCATGAGAGCTACAAATGTAAGGAGAAGATACTCACTTGTGACTTGCTGAAGAAGAAAGACAAGAACTTCAAACTACAGGAGAAAGAAAAAAAACAAAAATAACACATAAAGAATTCTAATGGTCTCCTCTGCTTCGTGAGTTAGGTCTAGACTGATGAAACAGAACCCCAATTATTGAAGCGAGCAAAAAGACAGTTCTTCAGCGATTTCTTCACTTATTGAATTCATAACCAAAACATGTTGAAACAATTCAGACTGATCAAACAGAACCCAATTAGTCAAACACGTGTTTCAGATCATTGACTTAACCAAGTTTTAGAAACAAAACCCAAAAAAAAAAAAAAACCAGAAGATCCATAATACAAGATAGATGATAATATATGAACATCAAACCCTAAAACCTAAAGAAACCTGATCAAATCGCTGCAATTTCCTCTGCCGTCAATAAGAAGACGATGAATCAGAGAGTAACGCTGTTATATAAAATCAAAACAAGTTAGGATATATACCAAATCGATAACCAATTCCGCAAAATCTAGGGTTTGAATTTGATTGGGAATAGTAAAAATCAAACGAAGCAAACCCCTAAACACGATTTTGAATTCGAAGCCGACGACGCTCTTCGAACGGCTCTCTCCTAATTTTGAAATTCGTTTCTCGATGTTTCCGTTAAATAGAAACTTTTAGACATCAATCATCCTTTTTTCCCCTCATTAGAAAGCCCAAAGATAATCCTAAAAGCCCAATAGAATGGCCCATTATAAAACTAAGTAAAGCCGAGACCTTTTCGTATATATAACTTTTGATGATTTCGGTTTAGCAAACCCCACAATCATTGAACTCTTACGATTTGGTTATACTGAAATTTTGCTCGGTTAGGGATTTGTTTGGTTGTGAATTTTACAATTTGTGTAAAATGAAATTTGAAAGAACAAAACAATGTTTCAATTTGATTGGAAAGTAAGATTGAAGTTTATCATATAAAAAAAACTAAACTTGACAAAATTACAATTATGGTTTGGATTGGTTTTGATTAGGGTTTTCAGTTTTGCTTGGCTAGACCATTTCTAATAAAATTACAACTAAACTATGCCAAATTCGTTTTTAATTAGATTTTTTTTAAAATGCGAGAAACGGTAGCAAACGTGGTTAGCAAGAAGTGGTATTACGGAAAAATACTGTATACTACTTTATATTGGTTTTATGATTTATCTGAGAGAAATACAATAGAAAACGCAAATCAAGATTATGGTTTTTGGTCGTTGGTTTTAGGGAGAGTCTTCTTCTCGAACCGAGATTTTTCATGTGCACGTGCGTTTGGTCACTACTTCGTGTTTAACAAACACTTTCTTCACCACTCTACTATGATATCCACGTTAAACAACATCAATGTATACTCTATATTTGCTTTTCAACATCTTTCATTCTTATATATGCTAGTATATATCATATATTTAACCTCTTTGTAAAGTAATCTTTTTCAATCTAAGTTTAAATGTGATGTGCAATGTAACCTTGGACTCGCGGAAAGAATTATATATGTATCCATCCTTAAGGGGGATGGACTTGGTAGGGGGAGCTCACACCGTTTGCAGTTTTTAGTTTGTGAGGTTTCATTGTAGGAAAGCTCATGGATGTTGTTAGATGAGCCACTCTCACATGATGCCGGGGACGTATGTGATCGAGGGCTCTGTAAACTTCGCCGTTGACAGCTTAGTCTTGAACCTCCATTGAAAGGTTTCTAGTGCGTCTTTTGCTTGAGAATTGTGGCTTCTTCAATCTGTTCTCGCTCTTCGTCTTCAGCTTGGCACTCCTGAAGAACACCTTTATCGTTATCACTTCGTCAAACTCCTCGTGTGTATGTTGAGTGGATGGACTGAGATCATTTTTATGAATTATGCTTCCATGTTTTTATCTTTTTTGCCATGGGACCATTTTTATAGGATTATAATCTATGATTGTAAACCTAAACATTTTCATTTTTAATGAAATATTTACATTCTTAGCAAAAAAAAAAAGAGTTATTGCCGACTTTATATATGTTTTAGAAATCTAAAATATAAGAATTTTGGTATTATGAAAAACATCAAATAGGAGGCGTGGAACCAACTAAAAGCCTTGTTAAATCCAATACACCCAAACTTTTAAACTAGCTTATGTTAGTATGTGTTTTTTCTACCCATAGGGTTTTGTGGATTGAGTTTGGAAACTTTGGATCCGACTCCTATCAAATTGTTCCGACCGACCAAAAACACACCGGCACTAGATATCTGCCAACAAACCGGACAAAAACAAAGGAACATTTCCTTAAATAGTAATACAACAACTAAACAAACAATAACCAATATAGCTAAACCGAGACATGTTGTAGACTTTATACATTATGTCCTCAATCTCTACGAGCTGTAGGTTATGGAACATCAATATCTGTATAATCAGTTGATGCCTGTCTTGCATTGTACGTAGTGATATATGTAGACACTTGAATTGAACTCACCTCCTTAACCTCAATTCGAGAGGTCCTCTCCTCTGCCAGTACAGCTCTATGCCTCTATCATCTAGGTTCTACGCTCAAACTTCTCTTGCATGGGGTCTAAAGTCCCACTCTGACTACATATATTACCCCTTGCCACGAGTCTACATATATATATAGCTAGAATTAACTTATCTTGTACAGTGATATGAAACTTTTTGTGAATCAAGAGTATGAGACAAAGACAAAGGCTTCGAATGTTAACTGCGTTTTTTACTGTGGGAGAAGTGCGGTGCGGTCCAAATAGTAACAAAAATATATAGATATACAGTATATATATATATGCAGATATTTTAACACTGTTACAGCACTGTTGTGGTGCAGTTTTGTAATGCGGTATTGTTACCCTTCGGAGCCAAAATACTAAATTTTTTGATCAGTTTTTTTTTTCTCTACTTTTCATCGTTTGAAAATATTGTAAAGAAAAAAACTACACAAGTGAAAATCAAAGATGAACATTTTCCACGTACTCAGTATTCGTGTCGCGTAGAGAACTTTAATATATCGAAAAATATATACTATACTATACATACGCCTCGTAAAACCAAAGAACACCAAAACCTACTACACCAAAAAAGTGCATAGGGGTATTAACGTAACATCAACGAAAACGATACTACTCCTCCAGTAAAAATAAATAGATCCAAATTTTTTTAAAAAAACAGTCATTTTCGAGAAACTTAAATGCTTTTACAACATAAAACAAATAAAATAAAAATAAACATTTGTTCTCTTCCACTGTCTTGTCTGTTGAAGTTAATAGAGAGAGAGATAGACGACGACGACGTTATTAGAGTATCTCTCTCTCACACACGATCAAGAAACCTTTCATCATTCGCCGGAAACATATTTCATTTCTCCGGCATTAATGGACGGCTCTAGAGTTTTTCCGTTCGCCGGAAACTTAGACCCTCGTGCCCAAGAGTTCATACCACTAAACCCTATCTCTTCCCATTTTTACTTTCCGTACACTTCTCCTCCTCCTCCACCGCCGCTTCCTCCGCCGCCGTTGCCTCCGTCGTCGTACGGATCATCTCCTCCTTTCACGTTCTTTAACCTTCCCCCACCACATCCGATGATGTTCTCTTCTTCTCCTCCTCCTCCTCCACGACAACCGCCGCCACCACCACAACCACCGCGTCCATGTTTCAACGGCGTTTCGGCATCACAACGGCTTGCTCCGCCGTCAAATTCTCCTACGCGATCTCTCTCTTTGATCTCCGTACCGCGTGACGTCACAGAGTCAACGGTGAGACGTGACTTGGAGGTGTTCGGCGACGTCCGTGGCGTGCAAATGGAGAGAATCTCAGATGGAATCGTGACCGTACATTTCTACGATATCCGTGACGCTAAAAGAGCTGTTCGTGATGTTTGTGGTAGACACATGCAGCAACAAGCTAGGCTCAGTGGTGGTAATGGCGGCGGTGGAAACGTTTGGAGCTCACCTCCTTCCTCTTCATCGGCGCGTGGGTTTGTCTCCGGCAGAACTGTGTGGGCACAGTTCGTAGTCCCGGAGACTAGTGCTGTTCCCGGAGGTTGTAACCAAGGAACGTTGGTTATATTTAACTTAGACCCTGAGGTCTCTTCCATTGATCTCAGACAGATTTTCCAAGTTTACGGTACGGTTCTTTTACTAGTTTCTATGTCTTGATCTACTTTAGTATTAGATTTAGTTTGTTTCCTCGATATGTGGATATGTCAGGAATTAAAACATTTTTCAAAGACTAATAATAATGTTTAGGCTATGATATAAATTACAATATTATTTACACGAATCATGGATTAATTGTTTGCATGTTATGAACATCATTTAGCTTTTGAATATTATTGGACTATTTGTTTTATGTAACATATATTTGTTTAATTGTTTCAGGTCCGATCAAAGAGCTGAGAGAGACGCCGTACAAGAAACATCAAAGGTTCGTTGAGTTTTATGATGTAAGAGATGCGGCAAGAGCGTTTGATCGAATGAATGGTGAAGAGATTGGTGGTAAGCAAGTTGTGATCGAATTTAGTCGACCAGGTGGACTTAAGAACAAGTTCAGGTCATCTAGGCTATTGCAGCTACCGTTTCAACCACCACCAGTTCTAAGTCCTCCTTTGAGGCAGTCTGTAAATCTTGTGAAAGATAAAAACAAGATTGTGAGCCCTAATAATGGTGTTATTGCTGTTAATGCTTCTATGCGTTCGTTATGTATTGTAAATGATGTCGATGATAAGACCCGAGGAGCGGAATCTGAATGCGTGGAGACAAAGAGCAAGAACATGGCTAAGTATGGGAAGAAAAGACAGATTAAGAACATGGAACTAAGTCAGTTTCTTATCAGTGAAGAAACCATGGAAAATCCAAGTTGCAGAGATCCACGTACCACTTTGATGATCAAGAACATACCAAACAAGTACAGGTTTGGCTATATAATCTAATTTACTTAGTATTAATAAATTACTTAGTATACTATTTTTGTAATCTAAAGTTAGAAGTTTTTACCTTCTAATATTCTCATGGAAACTAAGATTGCTTTAAAATTAAAAAAATTTCTAATCTCTCAATAAAGTTGTTATATAGATTTAAAGTTGGAAGCTTTTTCAAACTCTAGGATGGTTAAAGATTTAGATCTTTCATTAAAATATTCACATGGATTCGTGTGCTATACTATATATATTCAAAGGTTTATATTCTAGATAAAATTCTCCAATGTTATGTTCCATCAAGCTTTAAACTATATTCTTGTTTTATCATACCTTAATTGACTAACATTTTTCCGGATGCTCTTTATATATTACAGATTCTTGTTGGTTTTGTTAATGAGATTCAATGTTTTTGTTTTTATATATAGTCAAAAGCTACTGTTGGATATGCTGGACAAGCACTGCATTCACATCAACGAAGCCATCGCTGGGGAGCACCCTGAACCCTTTTCGTCTTATGATTTCGTGTATCTCCCCATGGATTTCAAGTAATCAAACATTATGGAGTCCATTGATTGTATAGTATCGTATATATTATATAGTTAAATTCTCTAACTGTTTTTTATATGTTATGATGTTAGCAACAAGTGCAATGTTGGTTATGGATTTGTGAACATGACAACCCCGGAAGCAGCTTGGAGGTTTTACAAAGCGTTTCATCTTCAACATTGGGAGGTTTTTAATTCGCGTAAGATTTGCCAAATCACATATGCGAGAGTTCAGGTATAAATATACACATTAGTCTTTTGATATCACAAACTACTAAAATTGAGTTAACACTCAAAAATATTTTCCATAATATACCAAAACTTAAACTATACGTTAAAGCAAAGTCTTCTTCATAGATTTGATAATTTGGTCACAATGTGTTTGTTTTGTTACTTTTGGTGGTCAATAAAAGTGTCTAGAGGATCTAAAGGAGCACTTCAAGAGCTCAAAGTTTCCATGCGAGGCTGAGGTTTACCTTCCGGTGGTCTTCTGGCCACCACGAGATGGGAAGCAGCTAACAGAACCCGTCTCTATCAACATCAACGGCTGCATTAAACTCAACCAAAGTCGTCTTGAGCAAATGGACGGTCAAGATCACTCAGAGAGTGGATCATGTTGTGACAGTGACCATGATCATAACAGTCATGAAGATGGATTTTCCGGCAGTAGCATAGACGGAGGAGGCCGGAGTATCACCGTGGAAGGAGAAACATCTTTTTAGGTGTTCCCTTGTTTGTATTGTGTATCATAATGATATATATATATATATATATATATATAATGTAAGTAGACATGATCATGGTTAGACTTTAGTACCTTTTCTTTTTGTATGTCCCAATCTAATCTTTTTGGTAATCTCCCATCTAATTACTCATGCTAAGTTCTTTTTGGTTATCAACATGATGAATTAATGCCTTATGAAAAGTTGTAAAATGTCACATCTTATAATAACTCTTTTTCTTTAAGTTCCAATGAAATTAATAAGATTTGGATTTATGTTCTTTATATTAAATGATATATATGCTATAGTGTGAAGAATCTTGATAGGAGAGTCAAAATTGGGTTGACCTAGGGTAAGAGTTCTTTTTCAGGCAATACTATCTTTGTATGTTCTAGTATGTTAGCTGTCTGAGTCAGTGACCTGTGAAAGGGACAATAGAGGACTCTGTGCTAGTGATGATCACATTCTGTATCTCTCTCTCTCTCTCTCCCTCTGATTCATGGGGCACTGACACGTGGTTTGATATCCACCTTACTTGGTGCATGGCAGTGTTGATAGTGATCGTTGACTACAACTTTTTAAATCTTCTCATGTTATTAGGATTATGAAATATATTAAAGCCATTAATAGGGTATATTAATTGTAAGATTTAAGATGTGACTGGTACATAAAAGGTTTTAACAACATTTCTAAATCATCCTTTTCCTAGGTAGGTTTTTAATAGATAAAGTCCACTAACGATTTATAGTCTCTGTCACAGTTTTTTTTTTTTTTTTTTTTGTTGTTGTTCAAATGCTAAAAAACAATTACACTAAATCACTGATGTCTTTTTTAGATTTTAAGTTTGAATGTTGTATAATTAGGTATTATCACAGAAAATTAATCAGTGTATAAACCTTAATCAATCATACTCTTATCATTTTTTAAGTAACACTAGAACTTGGACAAATACACTTGTTAAATTTTTGTACCAACCACTTGGAAGAATATACAAACAAAAAACGAAACAGGACAATTCTGGTAGCAGTGGCCCAAACTTACTCGTACAATAGAGAGATCCAAACTTGACTTAAAAGTTTTGTATAGTTGTCCAACAACGAATATGGGCCGAAACGTTAAGGCCCATTAATGCCATTAACCTAATTTTGTTTGACTCATCGTCCTCTCTATAAAAACCAACTCACTCTAAAACCCTTAAAATCTATAAATCATAGTCAATCTCCGTAGCCGTCAGCTAAAAAACTCTAACTTCGTCTTCTTCATAGTTTCTGTTTGATTTGATTTACAATTTTTGTGTTTTGTTCTTCTAATCGCTTTCGAAAGGCGTTGCGCTCTTCGTGATAGGGTTAACGTACCCTGAAGGGCGTGTCACCGGAAGCGTACAATAAAAATCTTCAATCCGATCGATAGGATTTTTTTTTTGGTGAATTCGGATTCGTTCGAATTTAACAAAAAGAAACCTAAGATCCGATGGCTAAATATTTACCGATTCGTTTGGTTTATTTTTATCCATCGATTAATCGTGTTTGAGAAATTATCGAATTTTGAGTTAGATTTGTGAGTAATAGTTTTGGTTTTAGAAATTGGGATTAAAAGTGCTTCATAATGGTGAACTCTCTTAGATTAATAAAAGTGAGAGATGTTCAAGTTTCCGGAGCAAATATTAACCTGGCCAGAATTTTAACAGCTCTGTGTTTAAATTTTACTATTTTCACAGTGTTACCTGTCTTCTGGTATATATATTTTTCACTAAATCCCATTACTTTAATTTTTATAAATGTTTGCTAAATCAACAAGTTTTAGTTTTGTTTTGGGATAATTGATTTGTGAAGGACTAAATTGATTTGTCTTACCACAAGATCAGCATTTTTATTTCTCTACGAAGCAAAAATCAGCATTAGACAAATCTTTATCATTGTTCTAATTGTTTTCATAATTAAAACAAAAAAATTAGACTATTACGTGTTATGACCCTAATCGATATCAATTAGGCAAATTAGTCTGAATAATTTGAAAATACTACAAGTATTAAAGATAGTTTTATTATCTGTGTTTACAATTTACGAAGATCCGTGATTTACGATTATCTAACATCTCAAAATATAAAAAAACGTTACATATGAATAACATTCGAACACTGCTACAAAAGATTTAGTCTTGGCCATATAAGATCTAATGAATCGTTATGGTAGAATTAATTATTTCATTGGGTTTATTGCCCAAAAAAATTTAATTATATAACTGAACGCTAAAATCAATATAACCTAACATTAACATTAACAACACACATTTTGCATTTCAACTTCAAACATAACGTTTCGTGTAAGTCAAGAAAACGTCGTTTCTTGATTTAGACCAATCCCCTAAAACTGTCCCTTTAGCCAAAAGCACCAAACGCATGATGATGAATCCTCTCTTTGAATCTTCGATTTACATATCTTTACGAAATCTAAAACACTAAACCTTGAAATCCAAAATTTTAAAATGTTTTTATAGTTACTACAAAACAGAGTCACTACGAAAATAATTAACAAAAAAAAAAGATGTCCAATGAAAACCCTGTAATGTCACTGATAGATCGCATCTTTTCACATCTTTGTCTTCAAGATGTATCAATTGCATTGTTAGGTCTGTTCCTCTTCGGTTGCTTGCAAGCGAAGCTAACAAACAAAGGCGGACCAGTGCAATGGCCTGTGTTTGGGATCACTCCCGAGTTCTTCCTTCATGTTCACGATGTGTTCGGATGGGTTACGCGGTGTTTGAAGAAAAGCCGAGGAACGTTTCCATACCAAGGAATCTGGTTTAGTGGATCTTATGGAGCCATGACTAGTGTTCCTGCAAACATCGAATACATGCTCAAAACCAATTTCAAGAACTTCCCTAAAGGAGATTTCTACAAAGAGAGATTCCACGATTTGCTCGAAGATGGTATTTTCAACGCGGATGATGAATCTTGGAGAGAACAGAGGCGGATCATTATAACTGAGATGCATTCGACTCGCTTCGTGGATCATTCTTTTCAGACAACGAGAGATTTGATACAGAGGAAGCTCTTGAAAGTGATGGAGAGTTTCTCAAAGTCTCAAGAAGCTTTTGATCTTCAAGAGATTCTTTTACGGTTAACGTTTGATAATATCTGCATTGCGGGTCTTGGAGATGATCCAGGGACTTTGGATGATGACCTTCCCCATGTTCCATTCGCTAAAGCGTTTGAAGAAGCAACAGAGTCTACTATGTTTCGGTTCATGATTCCGCCGTTTATGTGGAAACCGATGAAGTTTTTCGATATAGGGTATGAGAAAGGGCTGAGGAAAGCTGTTGAGACGGTTCATAAGTTTATCGACAAGATGGTTGTCGAACGAATCAAGATGCTTAAGGAAGAAGGAACATTAGTTAATAGCAAATCCGATGTTCTTTCGAGGCTGATCCAGATCGAAAGTCACAAAAGAGGAGATCAAAATGATCGGTTCACCATGAAGTTTTTCAGACAGTTCTGCACAAGCTTCATCTTAGCGGGACGAGACACTAGTTCCGTCGCGCTTACTTGGTTCTTCTGGTTGTTAACAAAACACCCGGAAGTCGAAACCAAGATCCTCGAGGAAATCAGAGAAATCTTGAGCCAAAGAGAGAAGAACAACAACAATCTTGAAACTGGAGAAACAGGGAGTTTTTGTCACTTCACAGTCAAAGAACTAAACGATATGGTTTATCTACAAGCTGCATTGTCGGAATCTCTTAGACTCTATCCACCAATTCCAATGGAAATGAAACAAGCGACCGAGGAAGATGTGTTTCCAGATGGAACTTTCTTGAGAAAAGGCTCAAGGGTTTACTTCTCAGTCTATGCAATGGGAAGGATGGAATCAATTTGGGGAAAAGACTGTGAAATGTTCAAACCAGAGAGATGGATACAAGGAGGGCAATATGTGAGTGATGATCAGTTTAAATACGTCGTGTTCAACGCCGGTCCAAGGCTTTGTTTAGGGAAAACATTTGCATACTTGCAGATGAAAATGGTGGCCGCTTCAATCTTGTTGAATTACTCAATTAACGTTGATCCAGATCATATCGTTGTCCCACGGGTAACAACGACTTTATATATGAAACATGGTCTTAAGGTCAGGATAACGCCAAGATCTCTAGAGGAGAAGAAGCAAGATCTATAAAATATAAAAGAATATACAGCTTAAGTTTGAAGTTGATTCTATATGGCTAATGTAAGATCTTCACCCTTTAATATTAGATTAGGCACATAAATAATCTTTGTTAGTAAACTGTACAGTGTGTGTGTATTATGTGTAATGCAGATCACAAATGTTATACAAAGCAAGAATTGGAATCAAAAGGTATAAACTGTTGTTTTGTTTCTAATTTTTGAAATTCAGGATTAGACATTCTTAAGCAGTAAAACTATTGGAACATCACTTGATTACCTTGTTAGACTGATAAAGCCTTCTGAAGAAATGTCTTGGAATAAGGACTAATTTGAATAAAAGGTTTTGATTTAGACCGCCTTCTCGAGCTAGTAACAAGCTTAAACCACTGGCTTCTCGGATCGCAACTGGAGTTTCCTTGTAGACATTTACAGCTTCTCATCACAATCTTACTGTATGAATCCACATCCAAGCAAACAATGGTTCCATTCTTTGTTACTGACAGGAGTTGCATCTTCGAGTCAGACAAAAGTTTCCATTTTGAACAGTGAAAGTCTGAGAAAAACAAACGCAGCTTCACAGCCTTTCCTTTCTCATAAGCTTTTAAGCATAGGATTCGTTCTTCGGTTAGCGATAACACTTGGTGGGAAGAAAGTTTCCAGCTTTCGGATCTATTGCAAGAACCAAGCTTTAGTTGAAACAATGATTTTCTTACAATGCATAGTCCACTCGAAGGATGGAACATTATTTTCTTTGGTTGAGTTTCCATGAGACCTGGTCCTGAATATTGCAAAGTTGTTAAAAGTTAATAAGATAAACCAAAAGTAAGTTTGAAAAACAAGTTGTGTACCTGTAAAAGGAGTCTGAATTGCAGAAATCATCTGTAAAATGGTTGAGTTCCTAATGCTTGACCAATCCCAATCCAAAACTCCATAAGTTTCGTCTGATCCAATAGTTTTGTCTCTTATATAATAGCTTCCTGCAAGTGTCCATAGCGCCCAATCTACATCAAGATCAGCTGCTAAAGCCATAAAACAACTTAGAAACTTGTTGTCATTTGCATTACTGCCTCTCTGATCAATCCCAAACTCGCTTACAAACAACGGAAACCCTTTCTCGAGCAAAAACCCCGACATTTTCATCAAATTCTCGGTTTCTCTCCCGCAAATCTTGTTCAAGCTATCTCCTTCCCAAGAGTTCCAAAAGCCATACCAATGGATCTCAAACACTAGTTTTCTCCTAAAGCTAACTTCAAAGGGCTTGTCACGAAGGAAGGATAAGTCAGTAGCGTAATTTAAACCCGAGACAATAACAAGAACATCCGGATTAATAGAATGAACGGCTTCAGCACCTTTTTTCATATACATATACCAATCTTTAATGTTCTGTTTAGGACCTCTGAGTTCATTCCTTAGACTCATACCAACCACATTTGATGAAACATTACTAGCAAACATTGATGCCATCTTCTTTAACCCTTTGATCCAAACTTGAGGGTTTAAATGCTTATCCCCAAAAAAACCGTTTCCATCATTGTCACTACAACACCAACCAGGTTGGCTTATGTGATTGTCTAAGATCACCATTACTCTATGCTTTCCAAGACAAGCCACCACTTCCTGTTTAAGAGAAAGAACAACAAGCTCTCATCTTTCTTAATCCTAATTGATAGATAACAAGAATTCAAGAGTCCCAAGAAAAAAGATGAAACCTTTCTATAAATTTTCTGATTATTCTGGGATCAAGAACAAGACTATAAAGTCAAAACCTTTTCGGTGGGAAAAAATCTAAAAAGGTCAAAACTTTAATTACCTGGAAAGCTTTGATCAGAGGAAGATCAAGAACTGTCGGATTATGTACCTGAAAACCAGAAACAGCTTCAAAAAGACCAAACTTGAGAAGAGATTGTCTCACAGTCATAATATCAGAGAAAGATTCGTCGGTGGCTAAGTAGAGAGGCCAAGTCAATCTAACGCAATTGAAACCCATTGACACGATCTTCTCGGCGATCGAATCCATCGGCTGCTTGCTCAGACCTTCCGCCACCGCGGTTTCAAGATGCGACGGCCAGTTGACGCACGTGAGTTTCACGCGCCGACCTTTGTTGCCGTCGTCGACGATCCATCGTGAGTCGGTGGAGAGAGGGAGAGCGAAGGTGGTGGTGACGAAGAGAAGAAGAAGAAAGAGAGAGATGAAGAAGAATCTTTCCATTAACTCTCTCTGTTTCATCAAACCTTTTTGCTTTTACCGCCAACATAGGTGTAGTCCGTATTAAACTAATCAGCGTCTTGACACAACAGAACAACACCAAACATCCACTTTAAACTAGGAGCGTCTAATCTAATTAATGACTTATTAATGAGTAAATTATAAATCTTACACGAATTCATTACTAATGTATAACTAATCAAATGACTTTACTAAAGAATTATTAATCAAATGAAGTACTGTTGGAAATTTTTTTTTTTCTTGTTTTGGGTTTGATTTTGACACATCGAATTAGTAACAAGGTTTAACATTGATAGAGTAATAGCATTATATTGGATTTAACATATAAGAAAGAAAGTTTACAACATAATATAATTATGAGTTACTTATATATGAGATGATTAGTCTTTATATATATATTAATATTTAACCTCATTATTTACTAACTTTGATAATCTTGAACCACTGGCTCATCGGATCACACGAGCTGTCTTCGCCCTTCACACACTTGCAGTTACTAGCTATGAGGTTATTGGATTCATCCACGTCAAGACAAAGGGAGTTATTAGTTGACTTCGCTGCTAAGAGCATATTAGAGGCTGAGATGGTATGCCATTTTGATAAATTGGGGCTCGAGCAACTCGTCTTACTAAGCTTAACCGGCGCATTCGGACCAGTATTCTCTAAGCATAGAGACTTGTCCTTGAGTGTCAAGGTATTGTCGGGAGTGTAGCTCCATGGCTGAGATTCATTACATAGACCGAGAGTGACCTTGGTTGGGTCTAAGATACTTTGTAGCATGCAAAGTCCGGTTAACGGGTGGAAAACAAGATTGTAGACTTTGGGTTGAGAGCCCGGTCCTGGTAAACTTTGAAGCGGGGATTGAATCAGAGACAACCTTTGCAAGAAACTCATGTTTCGAACACGATCCCAGTCCGAATCCAACACACCGTAATACTCGCTCATTCCGACCACACCTTCTCTAAGATAGTAACTTCCTTGAAGTGTCCAAATCGACCAATCTACGTCATTCTCCGCCGCCCAACCTAATATACATCCGATGTATCTATTATCGTTAACGTTTTTGCCTCTCAAATCGATTCCAAACTCACTAAGAAATACCGGGAAGTCACGGAGATTGAAACCGCCTCCGTCCTCGATGCTTTTCAGAATCTCGCCGCAGGCCTCGTTAGGGTTTTTGGAACTCCATGTGTTTGTGTTGGTGAAAGAGTATCGATGGAGCTCAAACACGAGTTTCCCAGTGAAAGTTAGGTTCACGGGTCGTGATCGGACAAATGACAGGTCGACGTCGTAGCTGAGGCCAGAAAGGATTACAAGTGCATTAGGATTTGCTTTGTGAACTGCTTCGGCCCCTTGTTGCATGTACCTAATACATTCATATATGTAATGTACATGAGACAAATACTTTGCAAGGACCATAAACCATAAACTTTACAATTAAAGTGATCGCATACTCTAACTAAACCCTACATGCATACACCCCAAAAGCCACTTTTTACCATTTATAATGACATGCTTTAACCAGTGTCCATATTTTCTTCTTATAGTTCTACCTTTTTCTTTCAAAACAAATTTTAAATGTAACGTACGTATGCCAGTAGAGGTAATAAACTTACAGATCATAGGTATTCAATAGCGTTCTCTTACTGTCTTACACATACACATGCATGCAGCAAATGGACAAACATGAAAAAAGAGCACTTAAAGATAATACGTGCAAAAATGACCGCTACCTAGTTGTTATCTATTTTTTTTTGTTTTCATTAAATTATCAATGAGCGATTCAAACAAAAAAATTTATCTTTTATAAATAAACACAAAACAAATAAATAGATAAAATAATTAAGTGCTAATAGGTTCTATCATGTTAATACACGTACTTGAACCAATCGTCGACGTTTTGTCTAGCTCCTCTAAGTTCGTTTCTGAGGCTCATGCCAACGACATTTGAGGTACCTTTGAAAGTCGTGGCTATCTTGGTCAGACCGGCGATCCACGTGGCAGGGTCAAAGTAAGTGTCGCCAAAGAAACCGTTGCCGTCGTCGTAGCCACAACACCATCCTGGTTTGGTCACATGGTTGTCTAATATCACCATCACATTTTTGTTTCCCAACTTAGCTACCACCGTCTGAAAAACAAACAAAGAAAAAAAGAAGAATCATGTTTCCAACGGAAATGAGGATTTTGAGTATGTATAATGTAAAACTTAAACATTAATATATAGTAAAGTATAAATTATTAGATTTGCTAATTCTTTTCTTCTATCCGAATAAAATACATCCAAATAAATAGATACTATCATACCTTATAAGCTTCCATGAGGGGAAGATCAATCATGGATGGGTTCTTGGTTTGGAAACCAGAAATATCATCAATAAGACCAAGACTTTGAAAAGATTGTCTCACAGTAACATTGTTCGCCAGTGTCTCATTTGTAGCCAAATCAAGTGGCCAAGTTAACCTAACACAATTGAAACCCATTTCCACTATCTTCTTGGCCACGTCATCTACCCGTTGCTTGCTCAGCCCTTCCGCTACCACAGGCTGCAAATGCGATGGCCAATTCACACACGCCAGCTTCACTCTTTGCCCATTTTCGTCGATAATCCAACGAGACTTTGTAGAGAGAGGAAAGGCCATGTTGTTCGTTATGAAGGAGAAGAATGAGAAGAAGATGATGAAGCAAAACATATGTTTTAGCTCTTTTGTTGTCTTCATGTTAAATGTATTTAGATTTTTTTTTGGAGGGGTTTGTTTTTTTTTTTTTTTGGTGTTGGTGAATCATTACTAAGAGGCTATATATAGGAAAATGCTTTAGAAGTTAAACAAAGTTTGTATCATGAGATAAAGTTATAACTTTAAGGGTTCAAACACAACTTATAAACCAGTAGGATTAATCGCTTAGCTTATGTTAATGATCTAACAATGGCGTCAAAGCCATTGTAACTTCTAGTAAATTTTATAGTAGTAATTGGATCCAAGTCACTCACGTCAATACGAAAAGCAAAGAGGATCATACTTGGTAACGGTCGAACTTTTTCCATAGAAAAGGCAAATAATACGAGTTAAAATACCCTTTATTGGTAGGTTCAAACAACGTAAACTTGACTTGGGAAACTTGTCTATAGTATTTTGAGAAATTGGGTGAAAACATAAAACTTAGCATAGTTGCGTTAATTAGACAAATAACACATATTGGAACCAAATGGTACATTGTGATGTGTTGGGACAAACATATCTTTTATGAAGACGACTTTGAGATATGTCTCATGTGAGTGTGACCTTTCCCTTTTACATTTATTTTTCCTCTTCAAATTTTGTGATAAGATTTTTCTACCTCAAAAATCTAATTAGTTGAAACATACTCTGTTGTATGAATGATATTATGATTTAATCACACCAAAAGAAAACATTTTAATTTCAAAACGAAGGATCAAACTGATAATTTTAAAATAAATGGAGGCGATACACAAAAATAAAATAATAAAGGGTTTATTTTGCAGTTCTCTGATAGATCAAGGTTGATCTTGCAATTCATCTCTAATTATTTTGTGACGCCGCGTCAGCCGCTGTCCCGGCGACGGTGGAATTGAAAAGGGTTTGATTTCTTTTATCACCGGAACTCTTCTCTCCCGCCGTTCGCTGCTTTAGAGTATCTCGACGGCGGCGATGGATGGATTGAAAAGGGGGTTTAATCTCTTTGATCATCTCCCTTGTTTTTGAGCAATGTAAGCCCTCCTTATCTTCTCTGTCTCCCCAATTCGATTTATGTATTGAATCATTGATGGGTTCCTTTAAATTTCAAAAATTGACGACAAAGGTTGCTCCTTTTCAGAATCTCTTCTTTTCTGTGGCCGGAGAAGTGTAGCGTCCATGGCACAGCTATATCCAAACTTTTGCGATGAAACTTATCTATTCATAGCAAAGCAGCATCATGTTCTTTCTAACATCATCTTACTACAGATACTTTTTACATACGTTTCCGTTGTTTATTACAGGATGTACAGAGAAAGGTTTATACAAAGTCTGGAACTAGAGTTTGGTGCAATCACTGAACTCGAACGGGGACAAGTTTGAGAGGTACTTTCTTGATGACTGTAAGAGTACCAGCTTCTTCTACATCAATGTCTTTATGTGTCATCCCATCAGGTGCTCTCCAATCGAAGAAGTAAAGTAAGTTCAAGAGTCCCAATTCCACAGTAGCTATCCCCATTGCTATACCAGGACATATCCTTCGACCAGACCCAAACGGTAAGAACTCGAAATGTTTTCCTTTATAATCAACAGGGCTATCGATAAACCTCTCGGGGTTAAACTCTTCTGGGTTTGTCCAGTATTTCGGATCTCTTCCTATGGCCCAAGCGTTGACCAAGATCCTTCTCTTTGGAGGAATATCATAGCCTTGAACCTTGACGTGAGCCCTTGTTTCCCTTTGGAGCAGAAGAGGAGCTGCTGGGTGTAACCTAAATGTTTCTTTGATTACCATGTTCAAGAAAGGAACTTTATTGATATCTTCTTCAGTGATTCTCTCCTTGTTGTTGCCAAGACGGTCTCTGATCTCGTGTTGAACTTTCTTCATCACTTCAGGGTTCCTAACCAACTCCGTCATTGCCCATGTCATGGTAATAGCCCCTGTGTCTATCCCTCCCAGAAATAGATTCTAGCAAACAGGCGGAAACTAATTTAAATAAGCAGATTAAGTTTTCAATGCGAATGTGTTGAAACAAGTATAGCTTTTTATTTTTTTACCGTTAGTAGTGCCTTAATGTGATTTATCGTGAGCTTCAAGGAATCATCATCTTTGTCTTGTTGATGCGCCACATCCAACATTAAATCGACGATATCTCTGTGATCTTTTGATATTTTTCCAGGATGTATATGATCATCGACCACACCTTGAAACAGCGTATCGAGCTTCAAGAAAACATCTTCCAACCTCTTGTGTTGCCCGGAAATCCAGTCAACGAGCCATCCAAGTCCGGCGATGGGAAAGAAATCAGAGCAAGTGAAACTAGCCTGAGCTGTCTCGGCTTCAAACACAAGCTCATTGATCTTGTCTTTATCAATAAGCTCACTCTCTTGGAACCTTTGTCCAAAGGCAACTCTAAACAGTATACTTGCGGTTAGCCAGAAAAAGGTTTTGCTCAAATCGACCGGAGATCGATTCGCGGCTGATTCTGATAGATTCTTGACAAGAAAGTTACATTCTTGCTCTCTGATATACCCGAAAGACTGAACCTTTTTTAAAGAGAAAAACTCACGCACCAAGAACTTGCGCCGCTCCTTCCACTCTTCCCCGTATGGTGTAAAACCGATATCTTTAAAACCCCGAGAGATTAGCCTCGTCCCGACAAGCTTAGGCCTGCTGCAACAGTCTAGGTCATGAGTTCTAAGCACCTCCTCAGCTGCTTCTCTCGATGAGATAACAGTTACAGGGACAAAGCCTAAGTGAAGAAGCATAACATGTCCTGTTCTTTCGGCTAGACGTTGAAATGACCTGTGAGGCAATTCTCCAACTTGGTGTAAGTTTCCGAGAAGTGGTAACATAGGAGGGCTTGGAGGAAGATTCCATTCAGAGCGTCGTTTGATCTTCTTGACGATAAAGATCAGCGAAGCGAAGGTGATCATAAAGAAACAGAGCAAAGAGGTTACCATTTTGATTTTTTGTTTCTTTTGTTGTCGAGAAAAATGAAATTTATAGCTCTGTTTCGGTATGTTAATATAGTCACACACACCTTACATTTGGCGGTGATAAATAACATTTTTATTGGATTTGTTAATATAATAAGCAACATTGCTCTTTTTAATATTTTCACCACCACCATCACCACCTACATCCGCCCTTTTGCATGGGGTTGTACCGTCTCTTTGCTAAATTTTAGCTCCACGTACATTTTAAGAGGAAAATTCTAAAACTAAGGTGTATGTGGACCTGTGGTTCATATCATCATATGATATCCACTACAGTAAGCTCTTTAACGTTTACCATATTGACAAAACCACAATCATCGGGATAAGTGAATAGTGAGAGTTGGATTTCCGAATAAGTGAACAAGATCAATCAAAATATATCTTCTAAGATCAATCAAAAGATAGTGTATATAACATGTCTCAACAGTTTCACTTTACAGTTTTTAAGAATGTAAAGAGATGATCTAATCTAACGATCCATAAAAACCAAGGAACAAGAAAACCTTGAGTCCATAAGCGTTACTTCATACGGAATTAGCATAACCAACAAATCATCATCATCAAAGGTTCGTGTTTGGGGCATAATAACTAGAAGTGCATAATTAGCAAATCGTATACAATACAAAAAATACAAGATTTGCATGATATTTTTCTTATATCAAAAAACATCTTCAAAGTTTGGTGTTTGATGCAATCACTGAACTCGAACTGGGACGAGATTGAGAGGTACTTTCTTGACAACAGTAAGTGTACCAGCTTCTTCTGTATCGATGTCTTTATGTGTCATCCCATCAGGTGCTCTCCAATCAAAGAAGTAAAGTAAGTTCAAGAGTCCCAATTCCACAGTAGCTATCCCCATTGATATACCGGGACATATCCTACGACCAGACCCAAACGGTAAGAGCTCAAAATGTTGGCCTCTATAATCCACAGGGCTGTCGATAAACCTATCCGGGTTAAACTCTTCCGGGTTTGTCCAGTACTTTGGATCTCTACCTATGGCCCAAGCGTTGATCAAGATCCTTCTCTTTGGAGGAATATCATAGCCTTGAACCTTGACGTGAGCCATTGTTTCCCTTGGGAGTAGAAGAGGAGCTGCTGGGTGTAACCTGAATGTTTCCTTGATCACCAAGTTCAAGAAAGAAACTTTATTAATATCTTCTTCGGTGATTCTCTCCTTATTGTTGCCAAGACGTTCTCTGATCTCACCTTGAACTTTCTTCATCACTTCCGGGTTCCTAACGAGCTCTGTCATTGCCCATGTCATGGTAATAGCTCCTGTGTCAATCCCTGCGATAAATATATTCTACCAAACACCCCGAAACTAAGGTTACCTCAAGTCAGATTCATTTCAATACAAATATGTTAAAAAGGTTTGTTTTGTTTTACCGTGAGAAGTGCCTTAATATGATCTATCGTGAGCTTCAAGGAATCATCATCATCTTTGCCTTGTTTATGCATCACATCCAACATTAAATCAACGACATCTTTACTATCTTTTGATCGTCCAGGTTTCAAATGATCATCAATCACATGTTGAAACAGAACATCTAGCTTGAACAAGACATCTTTGAGCCTCTTGTGTTGCCCGGAGATCCAGTCAACAAGCCATCCAAGTCCGGCAAAAGGAAAGAAATTAGAGAAAGTAAAACTAGCCTCAGCTGCCTCGGCTTCAAACACTATCTGATTTACCTTTTCCTTATCGATAAACTCGCTCTCTTGGAAACTCTGTCCAAATGCAACTCTACACAAGATACTTGCAGTTAGCCAGACAAGGGGTTTTCTCAAATCAACCAGAGACTGATCAACAGCTGATTCCGAAAGTTTCTTGACAAGGAAGTTACATTCTTCCTCTCTAATATATCCAAAAGACCGAACCTTTTTCAAACCGAAAAGCTCACGCACCAAGAACTTGCGCCGCTCTTTCCACTCTTCACCGTATTGAACAAAACTGATATCTTTAAAACCCCGAGAGATTAGCCTCGTACTAAGAAGCTTAGGCCTGCTACAACAGTCTAGGTCATGAGTTCTAAGCACCTCTTCTGCTGCTTCTCTCGATGAGATAACAGTTACAGGGACAAACCCTAACTGAAGAAGCATAACATGTCCTGTTCTTTCGGCTAGACGTTGAAATGACCTGTGAGGCAATTCTCCTAGTTGATGTAAGTTTCCGATGACCGGAAACTTAGGAGGGCTTGGAGGAAGATTCCATTTAGATCGTTTGATCTTCTTGCCTACAAAGATCAACGAAACAAAGGTGATGAGAAAAAGACAGAACAAAGAAATCGACATATCTTCTTGTTGCTTTTGGTTGTCCAGGAAATTACATTGATATTGTTCTGTTTTGGTATGTTAATAGTCCAACGAAATAACTCGAGTTACGTAATCTCACCGCTTACATTTAGCAATGATAAAAAAAAAAAAAACAGTACAATTGAATTCAAATGGCATTTATCTGCTTCAGTTCAATCCTAATAAATGTGAAAATTTGAAATATTTTGTTGTCTTCTATTTACTAAATAAAGAAAATATTATCTTAATTAATATACGTATTATTCATCTCCTCTAAAAATATTTGTTATTGGTCATTTTTCTATGGATGTCTTATATATGAGACAAATATTGATAGTTTGCTAGTTAGGAGAACAAGACAAATATGTATATGATTCGGTGTCCATCGTTAATAGTTTGCATAATTGTACAGTCTCTTTAGGCCATGTTTGTTCCACGTACACTTTAACAGGAAAATTCTAAAACGACCCGTATGTGGTGGACCTTTGGACGTGGTCCATATGATATCTACTACAGTACAAGCTCTCTAACTATTTCATTATTTGGCAAAAAACTAATTTAAAATTAACCTCTATCGATCGAGCTAAGAGGGTGCAATAATCCATGTGAGAGTTGGATTTTGTGAAAGTCCTAGCCATTAGTTATGCGTTTCCAAGTTTCAGTCAAACGAAACATTAATCATTTTGGAGAATAAGTTGGATATATATTGCGTGTTTAAATTTTGAGTCAAATATTTTGTGGCTATTAGTATACAAAGATAGTGTATCAAACATACGTTTCAATAGATTCACTTTACAGTTTTCTTGAACGTATAGAGGTCTTCAAAACATTGTATTTTACAGGATTTGTTTACCATATTTGTTAAAACATTTTAAAAGTATGGAACTGAAGTTTGGTGCAATCACTGAACTGGAACTGGTACGAGCTTGAGAGGTACTTTCTTGACGACTGTAAGAGAACCAGCTTCTTCTGTATCGATGTCTTTATGTGTCATCCCATCAGGTGCTCTCCAATCAAAGAAGTAAAGTAAGTTCAAGAGTCCCAATTCCACAGTAGCTATTCCCATTGATATGCCAGGACATATCCTACGACCAGACCCAAACGGTAAGAGCTCAAAATGTTGGCCTCTATAATCCACAGGGCTGTCGATAAACCTATCCGGGTTAAACTCTTCCGGGTTTGTCCAGTATTTCGGATCTCTTCCTATGGCCCAAGCGTTGACCAAGATCCTTCTCTTTGGAGGAATATCATAGCCTTGAACATTGACGTGAGCCATAGTTTCCCTTGGGAGCAGAAGAGGAGCTGCTGGGTGTAACCTGAATGTTTCCTTGATCACCAAGTTCAAGAAAGGAACTTTATTGATATCTTCTTCAGTGATTCTCTCCTTATTGTTGCCAAGACGTTCTCTGATCTCGCCTTGAAGTTTCTTCATCACTTCCGGGTTTGTAGCGAGCTCTGTCATTGCCCATATCATAGTAATAGCTCCTGTGTCTATCCCTGCCATAAATACATTCTATACCAAACGCGGAAACGAAGTTACAATAATTCAGATTCAGTATCAATTACAAAGTTTTGGTTTTTGTTTTGTCTTACCGTGAGAATCCCCTTAATATGATCTATAGTGAGCCTCAAAGAATCATCATCTTTGCCTTGTTTATGCATCACATCCAACATTTCATCGATGATGTCTCTGTTATCTTTGGATCTTCCAGGTTTCAAATGATCATCAATCACATGTTGTAACAACGCATCGAGCTTGAGAAAAACATCGTTTAGCTTCTTGTGTTGCCCCGATATCCAGTCAACAAGCCATCCAAGTCCGGTACAAGGAAAGAAATCAGAGAAAGTGAAACCAGCCTGAGCATCCTCTGCTTCAAACACGAGCTCTTCGATCTTTTCTTTATCGATAAACTCGCTCTCGTGGAAACTCTGTCCGAAAGCAACTCTAAACACGATACTTGATGTTAACCAGAAAAGGGCTTTGCTCAAATCAACCGGAGATTGATCCACCGCTGATTCCGAAACTTTCTTGACTAAAAAGTTACATTCTTCCTCTCTTATGTATCGAAAAGATTGAACCTTTTTCAAACAGAAAAGCTCACGCACCATAAACTTTCGCCGCTCTCTCCACCCTTGGCCATATGATGTAGCGCCAACGTCTTTAAAACCCCGAGAGATAAGCCTCGTCCCAACAAGCTCAGGCCTGCTGCAACAGTCTAGGTCATGAGTTCTAAGGACTTCTTCAGCTGCTTCTTTCGATGAGATAACAGTTACAGGGATAAACCCTAAGTGAAGAAGCATAACATGTCCTGTTCTTTTGGCTAGACGTTGAAGTGACCTATGAGGCAAGTCTCCAAGTTGATGTAAGTTTCCGATGACCGGTAACATAGAAGGGCTGGGAGGAAGATTCCATTTAGAGCGTTTGATCTTCTTTCCGACAAAGATTAACGAAACTAAGGTGATGAGAAAAAGACAGAGCAAAGAAATCGCCATTTTTATTCTTTTGGTTTAAATTGATAATGGCTCTGTTTTGGTAATACTAATAGTTCAAAGCGGCAAATCCAGTGGTTGTCAGTGAATAAAGAAGAGATAAGACACCACTCACATCGCGTACGTTTTAATCATAGTAAACTAGTTAAATAAAAAGTATACTAGTGAAGAGATAAGCCATCACTCAATCATAGTCGGTAGATTTTAAGATTTTATTGATGATTGGTCAATTTGTATGGAGCAGTAAGAATATTCGAAAGAGAAAAGTTCGACATCTAGAAAACAAAATTTGATATGTGCAAGTATGAATGGTTAGGAACATATGGCGATACTATGTTAAACAAAATAGCATAATAAGAGACTACCGAAATAAAATAAGTGACTACAAACTGATAAGAACATCGAACATCAAACACCACACAAAATTTCAGAATCTTGACATAGATTTGGATAAGTGTTAAAACACTTTTTTTCCTATGACATAAGTCGTTTGGGTTTACTAGTCACCTAGCTAATTTGAATCGTGTTAAAAAAAGTTGTGGTTGTAAGATGGAATATTTAGTTTTTACCGTATAATATGATTTTTTTTTTTTATATAACGAGAATTAAGGTGGTCCATTTTATTATCATCAGAGTCGTTGAGTAGTTTCATTTACTGTATATAGAAAAAATCTGACTTTGTTCCACAAATATGTTTGCTAGTGTTTTGTTCCACATGAGTTTTAAGAGGAAGATAGAAGGCAAATGCTTCTAAAACTCTTTGCATGATCCATAAGATAAGAGATTAAAACAAATACAACCTCTTTAACTTGTTCCATATCAACAAAATCGCAACCCGTTGACTAGTCTCGACATTTAAAATCAAATAAAATTTTCATTTATTTTAGAAAATGTGAGATAGTGTATTTGTATTTGTTGCATGTTAAGTTTTAGATTATTAAATATTGAATGTAATTTTCAAGAACCTCTTATTCCTAATCTTTTGATTTAAATTTTTAAACGATCATTTAGGTCAGGCAAAATAGCTAAGGATAATATGTTAACCACACATCCCAATATTTTACCGTTCTCTTTAATGTATAGTCTACAAATCACATATTATGAATCTTTAACATAATATTCTACTGAAATTATACCTATTACATGAGAGAAGCTAACATGATTTGCATAATATTTTTATTCAAAACATCTTCAAATTTTGTAGTTTGGTCTGATCACCGAACTCGAACTGGAACAAGCTCCAGAGGTACTTTCTTGACGATTGTAAGAGTACCAGCTTCCTCTATATTGATGTCTTTATGTGTCATCCCATCAGGCAACTTCCAATCGAAGAAGTAAAGTAAATTCAAGAGTCCCAACTCGACAGTAGCAATCCCCATTGGCATCCCAGGACATATCCTTCGACCAGACCCAAATGGCAAGAGCTCATAGTGTTGTCCCCTATAATCCACAGAGTTATCCATAAACCTCTCAGGGTTAAACTCTTCCGGGTTTTTCCAGAGTTTCGGGTCTCTTCCTATCGCGCCAACGTTAACCAAAATCCGTCTCTTGGGAGGAATATCATAGCCTTGAACTTTGATATGAGCCATTGTTTCCCTTGGGAGTATAAGAGGAGCTGCTGGATGTAATCTGAATGTTTCTTTGATTACCAGCTTTAAGTAAGGAACCTTATCGACATCTTCTTCAGTGATTGTATCCTTATTGTTGCCAAGTTGGTCTCGGATAGCATCTTGAACTTTCTTTAACAGTCTCGGGTTTCTAACTAGCTCTGTCATTGCCCATATCATGGTTATGGCCCCTGTGTCAATCCCTGCAAGAAATATATTCTACCAACAAAAAAAAAACGTTTAAGTTAAAAACTTAGATCCATTTAAAATGATAGTATGTTTAAAGAACTCGAATTACCGCGAGAAACCCCTTGATATGATCTATTGTGAGTTTTAAAGAATCATCTTTGCCTTGTGTATGAATCACATGCAACATTGAATCGATGATATCTTCGTGATCCTTTGATCTTCCAGGTTTCAAATGATCATCTATCACATGTTGAAACAGAGCATCGAGTTTGAGAAAAACATCATTGAGTCTTTTGTGTTGTCCGGAAAACCAGTCAACAAGCCATCCAAGTCCGGCAACAGGGAAGAAATCAGAACAAGTGAAACTTGCTAGGGCAGTCTCAGCTTCGAACACGAGCTCTTCGATCTTGTCTTTATCGATAATCTCGCTCTCGTGAAAATTCTGTCCCAAGGCAACTTTAAACAGGATACTCGCGGTTAGCCAGAAAAGGGTTTTGCTCAAATCGACCACAGATCCATCCACAGCTGATTCAGACAGTTGCTTGACCAGAAAGTTACATTCTTCCTCTCTGATGTACCTGAAAGACTGAACCTTTTTCAAACAGAACAGCTCACGCACAGCAAACTTACGCCGCCCCTTCCACTCTTCACCGTATGGCGTAAAGCCAATATCTTTAAAATCCCGCGAGAGTAACCTCGTCCCGACAAGCTTAGGTCTGCTGCAACAGTCTAGGTCATGAGTTCTAAGCACTTCTTCAGCTCCTTCTCTAGATGAGATCACAGTTACAGGGACAAAGCCGAAGTGAAGAAGCATCACAGATCCGTATCTTACGGCAAGACGTTGAAGTGACCTGTGCGGCAATTCTCCAATCTGGTGCAAGTTTCCGATGACCGGAAACGTAGGAGGGCTTGGAGGAAGATTCCATTTAAAGTGTTTAATCTTCTTGACGAAAAAGAATAAAGAAACGAGGGTAATGAGGCAGAAGCAGAGGAAAGTGATCTCCATTTGCTTTTTTGGTTTTGGTAATCGATAAAAGTGAAAATGGTATTTGCTCTGTTTGTGTTCTATTAATAGTTCCACACGGCAACGTTGAGATAACTCTATCAATACAATTGTTATCTATTAAAATACTTCAATTATTTAGATGGTGCCAATTGTCTAGTGGTTATTTGGTAAGTAGTAGTAGCAAATTGCAATTACTTTTACATATTGTATTGTATATTTATTAAAAGGGATAATATTTTAGTGCGGATAACTAGAAATGTCGACATTTTGACCAAAAATGAAAGTTTGAGCAATAATCTCTATATATATTGGTTAATGCAAATCCCAAAAACACAAATACCATTAGATTTTCTTTTGGTAAGGACAACAAATACCATTAGATGGTCTAAAGTTAACTCTATTAGGGAAGAATTAATGATTTACACTTTATTAATGCGGTATTCTCAACCGTTGATCTCAACACGAAAAAAACTATGGGTCAAACTAATTAAAATGGCCAGATTAATTGGGAGAGACTCAAACATCCGAAAATACTAAAAATTCGATTTTATGAATACTTCAAACAATGACATCATCACACATTCAAATCATGATCCAAAATTGTGAATATATGTACAGAAATTTGAGTTTTTTTTTTTTTTTTTTTCTTTGAGCTAGGCAGGGAGCCTTATTTTTCTTCGAGGCAAGCCTAAATAGAGCCACTATGTTTCAGGTAAAGAAAAAAAAAACGGTGATATAAACAAAACATCTATTTGCATAATTTATATTCGATTACTAACTGTGAATTGTAACTTTAAAAATCAACGATTCAAATCCTGAAAAAGAGTTTCTGACCCTTTTTTTGGTTTAGTTTAATTTTAAATATCATTGGCTTCGATTTCTTTATTTGGACTACCACAAAATCTTGAATTGACCATTCTCTCTACTCAGCATGCATGTTAATGTTAACTTTTGTTTTTGGTTTGTAATGTTAACATTAATTTTCATTCAGTCAGAAATCAGAACACTACTATTTAAATCATAATTCCACCTGTTGTTGTTATTGCATGCATGCTCTTCCATTCCATTTCATCGTCTGGCACATGACAGTGATGTTGAAAGAACGGACACGTTCTTGTGGTATTGTCTAGGTTTGTTTGCTTGTGGACGTCTTAATTTGATTTGGTAATTTATTTTTAGTTTGGGAAGCGATGAGCTAAATTACTGTCACGTTATTGACTTGGTGCCGATCGAGTAAAACGATAACTTTTTTCAAACAAACAAATCAAGATCTAATCATCACAAGACATTTGGAAATCTATGGAGTGGAGGGCTACTGACATACCCAGTATATACACGTTTAGATCCAGTCCCTCTTGACTTTTCTAAATCAAAAGAGATAACAAAATTTGGACGTTTATGAACAATCTTCTAGAAGACATGCATGTACGTTAATAACAATTAGACTTACGTCAGCTTAGATCATTTTTAAAAATGTTAGACCACCTTCCAGTTGGAGCATATCAAAAATTGCTCTATCAAAATTAAATTAACAAAAAAAAGAAAAATTGATGAGAAAAAAAAGAAAGGGTGTAGCGTCAAAATATATATATATAGACACATGTCATATTTACATAAATTCAAGTCAATGAAAAATATATTTTATAAATAAAATAGTATTTTTTTTTCTTTTTTTAAATTTCTCACTGATTACTCCCACTGGAAATGGGCTTAGGTCTATTGTGTTTATGATAAATATAATATATATCGACATAATTAGTTGTATATATATATATATATTTTTTTTTTTTTGACAAAAGACTTTCAATTAAAAAAAGGTAACCATATTACACACTAAGCTACGACATAACTAATTATATGATAATTTAGGTTATAAAAAGTATAAATAAGCAATTGTTTACTGTTGTTTAGTAGTATACATGTGAGATATATTAATAAAAAAACACTGGAGGTTTTTGGTACTAAATGGTGTATATAATCGTGAAAATAATAAACTTATTAAATAACACATGTAACATGATGTAAAAAAATAAAAATAAAAAATAAATAACAAGTAAGAAATTGAAAGGAACTTAGTTGAACCAAAAACAAAACAAACGAAAGAATGACCAAGTAACACATTTGAAGACGGTAGTTTTCTCAAGGCATCATCAGGCATCAGTAATGATGATCAAGTGGGAGTTTTATGGCGATGAAGAAAGTGTTGATATCGTCAGGGTTTGTCCAGCAATGGGGATGTTGTAACCTTGAAT